TTTTTTTTTTTTAAATTTTATTTAAGGAGAAAAGAAAAAAAAAAGCAGGGAAAGGGTACAAGTTATACAGATTTACAGAAAAAAAATGAACAGTAGGAAATCACTAGTTAATGGATTACATATTGTCATCTTAGAAATAATTGTTCAAGTCACAAAATTAAAGCTTGTAAAGTGGACATTCCATCAACGATACTGCAAACAGTTCTGTTCATTGATCCAATAAAACTCTGTGATATCATTTTCTATCTTATGCACTTAAATATACATGCAGTTATATAGTTTGGAGCACTTTCTTTTCCTCTCTTTTGTACCATGACTATTACACATTTTGGGTTTCATTGCTCCCACGGTTCTTATTACTTTTTTGGAAGAGAGTAAAACCAAATGCGACATAACAGATGTTCTTAATTCTTAAGTTATAGATCTTCTTATCATCTTCTAGCCTTTGTATTATTGCTATTTGTTTTCTTGTTATTTTTAAGAAGTTTTTCATTTCATGCTCCCACATTACAAATCTGCCCTCCAGTTCAGATAATTTATCCTTAGTTTCTTTCAAGCTGTTATGCCAGCTTTCAATAGAGCTTTTAGTTTCCTGGTAATCTCTTTGAACCTGCTTCATGTATTCTATGTTTTCTCTAATTTCTCCATCAAACAATTCTCTCCTTTTTTTCTGTTCTTCCATTCCACCATCTGTTTTTTCTTGGGCGGTGCTTAGCATTTCTCTAACTATTTTACTTATATCTTGCTTTAGGTTGTTAAAAGTTTCATTTTTGAACTCATCTATGAGGCTCTGGAGGTATCGCTTTATGTCTATTGGTGCCGTGTCTGATATTGCATGTTTCTCAGGATTGGGGACTGAGGACCCTTTCTTGTTGCTCCCTCTTCCCATCCTTTTTGTTCCTTCCATACAAGCGCACATAGGAGGCCCAGTTTTTTTCTCTTTGTCTGTTATAGTTTGTTTAAATTGCGCCAGCTAGGTGTTCCTGCCCACTGCAGTGCACTAGGGAGACACAGACCTGGGCAGCCTCTGCTGGGCTCGCCCCTCCAGGTCAACCTACCGAAGGCACTGCTAGGGTGCAGCTCCAGGCGTTGGGACTTGGTTTGGGCTAGCCTACTGGGTCTTAAGTCTGCGGCGTCACACAGGCCAGGCACTTCCCACCAATCCTGCTTGAGAGGAGAATATGTGACACTGCAGTGTCCTCTTCTGGCAAGTCTGCCCGGTCCCAGTATGTCCTTTGCTGAAGCCTCCTACTCTATGGAAGGGTCCCCGTTTCGCTCACCTACTGCAGGTGGATGCAGGGCTCCCAGCCAGTCCTGCTCTCAACTCCATTTGCCACTTACCACTCTCAGAGCTTTCACCCCTGTCTCCTTTCTGTGCCGATTGGGATGCAGCAGTGGGGCGTGGGCTTCAGCTTCCGTGCTGAGACCTTATCTGTTCCTGTTTTAGCACCGGGATTGCATTTCCAGTTGGTTTCTCTTAGTTTAGTTGGTTCCTGGGTCGGCAGGTTATATCTCCCCTTGCTTAGGACTTCTTGCCCCGTGCCATTCCTGGATTCTAAGTGGGGTATCTCAGAGATCCTCCGTAGCTGGTGCTATCTATCCGCCATGTTCTTCCGGAAGTGCCTACATTTTTCATTTCTAATTGCATAGATTTGAGAGGTTTTTTTTTTATAAACTTGGCTAAAAGTTTTTCAGTTTTGTTTAGTCTTTCAAAGAACTATGTCTTTGATTCATTGATTCTTTGTATTTTCTTTATTTTCTTTCTCTCCACTGTATTGGACATTCTTCAAAATAGACTATGTAGGCCCCGGGTTATATAGCTCAGTGGCATATGTGTCTGCCTGGCAAGCGTGATGTAGCGAGTTCCATCTTCTGTAGTGACCCCCCGCAAAAAAAAAAAAAAAACCCCACATAGTAGTCCATAGAATATGCTTAAGTAAATGTAAAAGAATTGAAAACATCCCATGCATATTATTATGCAGTAGTGCTGTGAAATTTGCAAATCAACGGCAGAAGAATCCATAAGAACTTCATAAACACCTAGAAATTAAATAACACCCTTCTGAACAACCCGTGGCTCACAAATGAAATTAAAGTTTCTTCAATTAAATGATAATGCCAGTACAACATACTAGAATTTAAGAGACTAGCAATATCAGTAAAGCAGAAAGAGTTTCCCCAACCCCCCTCAACAATGTCTTGCTATGTTGTTCAGGCTCTCTTTCAACTCATTATGGCAGGCTGGCCTTGAAGTTGTATCGATTCTCTTGCCTCAGCCTCCCAAGTGCTGGGTCTCCAGGCATTTGCCACTATGCCTGACTTACCGGCTTTCTTTATGACTGTCTTTTTGTGTATGTCTCAGGGTCTGAATAAACTGCTATATTTCTTTTAAATAACATTTAGTTAACTCTTTTAAAAATCTACTTTGATCTTTGCTGTTTTAATTGGTATGTGTAGGACTCTTATAATTACCGCATGTTTATGGCTATGCTTTTCGTCTTGACAGAGTATAATATATAATTTTCTTTTTATTTATTCTGCTTGGTTGTTTGCAAGAATTTTGGAGATTTGGGTGGTGTCCTTCATCAATTTTTTAAAATTCCTGGCTGTCTCTTTTTTTTTTATTTTTTAATTTTATTTAAAAGGAAAAAGAGAAAAACAAAACAAAGCAGTGTAAGGGTACAAGTAATACAGAACTACAAAAAAAAAAAAAAACCAGTAAGAAATCACCAGTTAATAGATTACATATTATCATCTTAGAGATAGTTGCTCAAATCACAGTATCAAAGCATACAAAGTGGATATTCAAACAGTGGGACTGCAAACAGTTGTGTTCAATGATCCAACCAAAAACATTAATATGGTCAGCTATTTAACACCCCTAAACACACTTACTGTTGTATCCTTTAGAGCACTTTTTTTCCCTCTTTTTTTTACAACAAAATTTACACATTTTGGGATTTATTACTGCTTAGTTCTTATTACTTTTTTTGGGGGGAGAGAATAAAGTCAAATATGGCAAAACAAAGCTGTCAGTCAAAACCAAGGAAAGACATAGCACATGATGTAAAACAGAGTACAAGGTTATCAACAATGGTTATCAACAATGTCGCTTGTTTCCTTAAAAAGAATTATCTATCTCATTAGATATTATAAAGTTGAACAAAACACTAGAGAACAAGACCAGTAAAACTTAAGCATTGTAAATATTACAGGACTTCCAAAGGAGACAATAGTCAAACCAGAATGGGCATCTTAGTGAATCTTATTGCCTTCAAAGTAGTTGCCTATACCCTCAAACTTGATACTATCATACAGAATGGAACAGAGTCTAATCAGTCAAAACAAGATCGTGGGAGTATTACAGGACTTCAAAACAAGTTAATAGGAAATCAAAAAAAGTTACTATTATATATCCTGCTAATTTTTTTGATTTTTCCCCTTAATTAAAAAAAACATAAAAAATAACTAAATAATTTTTTAATGAATAAGGGAGAGATTGAGATAAAACAGGACATAATAATATAACAATACAGATCAGAGCATGACTGTTTCAGCAACCTAGTGCTTTACCACCAAATAACCTGACTTAATAGTAGTTACCATAATGTCTTTTTCCTTGAAATATTTGAATAAAACTTCATATACTATAACTTCAAATATTTCCATATCAAGAAGCCCAGAATAAAGCCTTTCCAATTAATAAGTGACAACTTTATAAAGCTTCAAGGCCACATAATGGGGAATCATGATTACCACATATTTTTATATATTTGAATCATTACTTACATTAGGGAAACTGTTCAGTATTCACACATGCGAGATTGATTTATTTCACTTATGAGTATGGTCTCAAGCTGTGCCCATTTATTGATAAATATCTCAATGTGATCCTTCTTTATAGCTGAATAATACTCCATTGTATAGAAATACCACAACTTTTTTATCCATTCTTCAGTTGATGGACACTTGGGTTGTTTCCAAGATCTGGCGATTACAAATTGTGCTGCTATAAACATAGGTGCACATATATCACTGTGGTATGATGCTTTCAGTTCTTCTGGGACCTGGCTTTCTCTTCAAATATGCTGCCTCATTTACTCATTCTTTTCCTTTAAAATTCTAGTTTTATGCATACTAAGTCATAAGGGAATGACAGTTTTATGGTTTTATGCTGTGTTCCAGAATTTTTGAAATGTCTGCCTTTGAATAACTAAGAATAAAGGGATACACTAATTCCTTTAATACTTCTTGGAATAATTATTCAAAATTCAATATTTTAGCAGTGTCATCTCATTTTAGAAAAATATCTTATGTCCATACTCCTATCACTTTCATTAGTGTGCAGCCTCCATGATGGAGAGAAACATTGTTTAAAAACATTGAATGCAGATAAAAAGAAATGGTATCATGTTATTTAGTGAGTCAGATTTCAAAATGTGAAATGATCTTTAATATAAGAACTTAATTCAATTTGTTTTTTAAAGAAAATGTTAGAAATATGTTTACTGTTTGAAATTTTAGCAAATTTGTATCATTGTTTATATAATTTAATTTATATACATATATATAAATTTAGTTAACTCCATTTCTTTTATCTGAGTAGTTTTACTTGCAGTTAAATATTCTTAAAACTTAAAATGATGAATTAGTTTTTTTTTTTTTTTTTTTTTAAAGTCACAGGAACAGAGGAGTGGCTGTGCCCATGATGCTAGCAGGTCCAGTACCCCATCTGCAGGGCAGCGATGAATTAGATTTTTATAATTACTGCTTTTATTCATTTTTGGTTTTTTTAGGCGGGTCTTGCTCTGTAGTGCCTTTGAACACATAGCGATCTTCATTCCTTAGCCTTCTGTGCTAGGATCACAGGCTTGTTCCACCCTCTCTGTTTTGTAATGACTACTTTTAATACTGCCACAATTAGAATAGGAATATGAAATTTTTGTGAGTAGTTGTGTATTAAAATAATACATTATTTTATTTTTTCTTCAATTCATTAGAGGAATTTAATGACAGGATTTTGCGACCAGAGTTATCAAATGATGAAATGCTTTCTCTTCATGAAGAGTTGCAGAAGATTTATAAAACATATTGTTTGGATGAAAGTATTGACAAAATTAGATTTGACCCCTTCATTGTAGAAGAAATTCAAAGAAGTAAGTCAAGCATGATGAAGAAAATTAATTTCATAACTCTTTTATAGTTTTCAAAGAAATTTTTCAATTTATTATTGCAATAGCCATGTGGGGCAAATGGGTAGTTAATATTTAGCAGTTCTAAAAATATTTAGCAGTCTTTTTTTAACTTCTACCTTAAAATTTTTAAAAGTTTTTCTAATATTACAGATATATGTTTGCAATACATAACAATTGCATTCATCTTGGGGGATTGGTACTTATACATATCATATCTTAATCATTCTTTAAAAGCTTTTGATACTTTATTAATAAGATGGACAGGTTGAGGAAGAGACTTACAATTCATATAACTAATATTTTTGTCAGACTTGGTAGTTATAATTTCTAAATCAAATATGATTTCTTACACTGGAATTTATATAAAATATAGTTTTAATATTTATATGCTGTTTCAGTGTGCAGTAGTGAATTTTAAACTACTATATATGACATTTTGCTATTCATAAGTAATTCCTACAGTAGAATTTTTTTGAATAGTTGCTGAAGGCCCATACATAGATGTTGTAAAACTTCAAACTATGAGATGCCTATTTGAAGCATATGAACATGTTCTTTCTCTCTTGGAGAATGTATTTACCCCTATGTTCTGCCACAGTGATGAGGTAAGTCAAAATATCTACCTTGTTTGAGGGTTTTTATAGTATATTAATTGCTGTGATATATAATTAGGTAAATCATTCAAATAGTTAAATAAAGATTAAGAAAGTGAATACTTTTTCTAGTATATAATTAAGAAATTAAAAGTTATTTGTAAATATAGTAAGTCCCCAATTATGAACCTTTGAGTTATGAACTTTCACAGGTGTACTATGTAAGACTCACTTTGTTGCATTACAGATGAATACAATTTAGGAATGTTCTCCCAGAATGGAATTTGTTTGTATGTCAGGGATTTAATCCCTGTTTGTGTTTATGTGAGTGGGTAAACTGGAGCCAGTTCTTCCAGCTGATTTGCCATGTAATACTGCTGTGATGCAGAAACTCCGTTCTTCTTATATATACAGTATTTGTAGACTTGAGGAAGTCAAAGGCTTGAGTATCTCTCCATTTGCAGTATTTTAATCCTAATTGTGTTGGATTGTGGTTGTATTCACTTCATTTAAATAGTTTTCTGGTTTTTTCCTCTTTTTTGTCTCCCCCTCCTTTTTTCTCCCCTTCTCTTTCCTCCTCTCCTCATGTGTGACTTCTGTCCCTTTTTCCCTTGTTTCTTCTTTCCTTCCTTCCTTACTATGCATCTAACCCAGGACCTTGTATATGGTATGCATGGCCTGTATCACTGAGCTATACCCTTGGCCCTTAAATCTTTTCTTTAAACCAGAGAGCAGAGAGCTAACATAGTATATTTCAAAGTCAAATATTAGTTTACTAAGTTATAATTCTTCTTTATTATTTTGAAGTATTTCAGACAACTTTTAAGAGGTGCAGAATCACCAACACGCAATTCAAAATTCAACAGGTGAGTATACATAATTGATATGTGTTTTATTTTTGATCCTGATGATGCTCATTATTCTGTGATAGCATCTTTGTCTTTTTTATTTTTCTGAATGAGTATGTAGTTCCATTGGTACATGGGTAGATAAGGTCCTAAAAATGCCTGCAGTTCTTTTAGAGAAGTAATACTTTGCTTTGTTAATCTCATGCTTAATAAATTGCTTCATTGGAGAGTAGGTACTAACACATAGTAAGTGAGATCACAGATAGCTTAAAATTTTAGACAATTTTGTTTTCAGAGCGAACTTTTTACTAGAGTACTTAGTGGATACATACAAATTGGAGGAATATTTTTTCTCCGTTTTCCAGCTTTCTGGATATGTGAATGTGGAATTAAACTAAAAAAAGATAATTAAAGAGAGAAGTTTATCGATTATAAACTAAAAAATTAATGTCTGGATTTGTCTTTATAATTTTACATGTTACATAAATAAAATTGACAAAGATTCAAATCTGTAAGTCTACAGAATACATAGCCATGTTATTCTTAGTACCTTCTAGTTTGAGCAAGTGTCTAATAAATATATAAATAATAATATAAGGAGGGAAATAGGTAAGTTGGAAAACAGTGATGTTTAGACTGTGAGTACAAGGAAAAATGTGAAAACCATGGGGAGGATATATTGTATTTTTTGAGATGGCCAAGTATTTTAGGAGTAGATTTGAATTTTTTCGCATTCTGAGTATAAATTCTTATATAATGCCTCAGTAGAGGGTAATACCCATGGAATAAATATTTTGAAGTGTGGAAAATATCTTTTATGATTTTCTGCAAAAATACCACTCCTTTGCATTTTCTTTTTTTTTTTTTTTTCATTTGTCTTTTTTGAGACAGGGTCTCTATGCAGTTTGGGCAGGCCTTGAACTCACTTTGTAGCCTAGGCTGGTCTCGAGCTCACAACGATCCTCCTGCCTCAGGCTCCTGAGTGCTGGAATTATAGGTGTGAGCCACTGCGCCTGGCCTTCCTTTGCATTTTCTAATAATTTGTATGTTATGGCCATGAAACATATACTATATTTAGCAAAAACTCATATTCATGCTACCTAAAGTAGTATCATTTGCATAGTCTGCCCACCTCTTAATTTAGCCAAATACTTTTTCAAGACTTTCTATCAAATTTCCCAGCACATTTGAGAATCACATAGGATTTATCGTTTTCTGTATACCTAAAATATTCAGATTTTCACACAGGGTATTGAGATTAATGAAATGTCTATATGGGACAGTTAAGGTTCTATGATCTTACAGATCTATTGAGTAGTTAAATCTATGTCACGGCTATAACTTCAGAGATAGAAAACTTCCTTTGACACTTGTATTGCTGGTTTTAAAATATGAAAAAAGACAAGAAGGAATTACGATTTCTTTTCATTCTGGATACTAATTATAGCCCTTTAAAATATCTTTTTACTTTAATCTGACTAGTATTAACTACAGTGTTGTCAGGACTCTACTTCTTTGATACTTAATGATTCGTTTACCTATACGAAGTAAAAGAATTTCTTAATATTCTCTAATTGGAAATTAGAGTAGCTTTGGTAATCTGCTATTTGATAGCTTACATATATTTTGTCATTTTATTTATATTTTAAAAGTAAATTTTAAAAGAATATTGTTAGTCTTGACCTGTTTCATTGTGTATTCAAAAGCATAACTTTAATATTCAGTAATCTTTTTTAACCTTTTCTTCTTAGCTTAAAACATTAAACAAAACCTTTCTTTCCTCCAGTCCTGGGGATTGAATCCAAGGCCTCATGCATGCTAGGAAAGTGCTGTACCTCTGTTTGCTGTCACCAGAACCAAAATAATAATTTTTGAATCCTGATAGAAAAAATAAGTGAAGCAGCATGCATGATTATGTCTAATATGGCACAAATTCCATGTTGGAAAACAATGTTTTTTTTTCTTTTCAAGCTATGTTTGTAGTGGCTTAATCTCCATGTATTTTCCACTATATCAAACAAATGGCACAAGTAAATACAGGACTGTTTTCCAACAGACTTAATTTTTAAGAAATTTAGTGATCTGCACTTTCTATCTCCAGACCCAAACACAACCATCTGCTTTGTTTCTCTTTTATTAGCTATTCGCAAAGATTTTTTCCTTTTCTCTTTTCCTGGCGTTAGTGGGGATTGAACCCAGGGAGCACTGAGGTAAATCTGTATCCGTCTTTATTTTATTTTGAGGCAGGGTCTCAGTTGCCAAGGTTGGCCAACAAATTGCAGTCTTCCTCAGACTCCCAAATACTTAGGATTACAGGAATATGCCACCATACCTGGCTAGAGTTTTTAACTTAAACAAAGACAAATGCTATCCTTTTGTATAACTTTTAAATTTTATTTTGTATTTTAAAGTGAAACTTGTTTAATATCTGGGCTTTCTCTCTTTCTTCTTGTATAATTTCACATTATCTGATATTGCAGAGGTAGCCTAAGTTTGGATGATTTTCGGTAAGTCTTGAGCATGTGATTGTTTCAGTCTAAGTTATTTGTTTGAAGTCCAGAAAGTGTACCCCAAGCAGTTTAAGGACAGCTTGAAAAAAAGAGAAGCGCTTTGCTACTGCCTTCTATCAGTTGGTTAGAATAACTTTTTAAAATGAATCTCTACTTTAAGTCTAGATATCTCCTTTTTGAACATGTTATAAAAATAAACATGTCCCATGTTAAGATGTTTTAATTATTTATCTTGGTTTTCAAGGGTATCACCTTTTTTAAAACCTTTCTTTTCTTTCTTTGGTTGTTGATTTTTCTGAATAGTTCTTAGAATTTTTTGTGTTTATAGAGCTTTTTAAAAATAAGTGTAATGATACTTCTGTGATTGTGGGCATAACATTTCAAAAACCTCAGGTTTGTACTCTAGATTTAGAGACTAGAATAATCTAGAATTTAGAGATTAATATTTAATAATACTTTAACTTGTTCATTTGTTTATTTTGTCACAGAATTTCCCTGTGTATTTCAGGCTGGCCTTGAACTAAGTGTAGATAGCACAGGCTTGCATTTTACCCATGGAGATTTTCCTTCCTCAGCCTCCCAAGTGCTGGTGTTTCAGGCATATGTCACTATGCCTGGCTTATTTTGTCAGCATTTTTATATTTATCTTTCTAAAAATTTCTTCTTTCAGAGACAAATGTATCTACAACTCTTGAGTTTTTAGAAAATACTGAGTGCTTGTTCAGATAAAATCTAGTTTAAGTATTTCTAAAATACTACTTATAAATGGCTTTCTAGTTTTAAAAAAGTTTGTTTTGCTCTTCAGTCATGTATAAAATACACATCATGACATATATTTGATACTAGTATATTTGGAACTCAATTTGTTATTTCTATAAATGGTCCATTATTTCAGTAGATACATTTTTGTTGTAGAATACTCGGGATCCGGTAAAAAACATTAGAAACGAAGTATCAGGGTTGATTGATTATAATTTTGAAGACAGGGTTTGTTATTCAGTTCAGGCTGGCAGGCATGTGCTTCCATGCCTGGCCAATGTTTTTGCAAAGTTTTATCTGACAGTGAAGTACTGAGGTCATAGTTTTATATATATTTTTGTTTTATTAAATAGGTGGTATAGTTTTATACATATTTTTGTTTTATTAAATAGGTGGTTTTGTTTTATAAATAGGTGGTGTTTTTGAAAGTGTTTATTAGTACATGTTTGCAGTACATAATGATTACATTCATTGTGGAGAGTTGGTGCATGCACATAATCCATCTTAGTTTTGTTTACATCTTCTGGGGCTAGGGATTTAGCTCAGCGGCATAAGCACCTGCCTTGCAAGCAGGCAGTCGTGAGTTCGATCCCCAGTACTGATAAAAAGGAAAAAAGACAAAAAAAAAAAAAATCTTGTTTACATCTTCCTCATTCTTTCTTTGTCTTTTCTTTGATCTCTTGGTCCTTTTCCCATTTACAAAAGATTTGTTTCCCTGTTTCCTATTACTTGTCTTTTATTTTGCTTGGTAAATTATTTATACTTTGGGTTTCTCATATAAAATAAACTAATATTTAAGCATGTATTTCATTTATTTCACTTAACATTGTGAAAGTGGATCTTTTGAACACTGATGGTACAACACATTTTTATTTCAAAACACCTATCATACCAAGAACTATGCTCCATGAGGGGGCTTTCATCTTTAAAAATGTTTGGTTCAAATAGTGATTGAAGTTAGCAGCTAAATTTTAAATGTTTACTAATAAATTTTGTCTCTTTTACTCACACTACAAATTTAAACTTTGAATGTGTCATTTTTGGCTTCTGAGATGTTGTACTTCATCTGTGACAGAGACACTCCAAACATTACGTTAGCTCTACTTTCAGTTTACTATTTCCAGAAGTCTCTTTGTAATAGTATGTGGTTAGTATTGTTCCTAAGTAGATTAGACTGTTGTGATATTTTGCTGTGTGCCTGATAGATTTTTATTTAATATTTAGAAGCACACAGAGAAGGGGAGAATCATTTGGAATCAGCAGAATAGGCAGCAAAATTAAAGGCGTGTTCAAGAGCACTGCAATGGAGGGAGCTATGCTGCCCAATTACGGTGTGGCTGAAGGCGAAGATGACTTTGTAAGTAAAGTTCTTCAGTTTGGTGTAACTTCAGGCTACTGTAGCATAAAATGTTAGATATACTTATTATCCCTTAATCTAGATTTCCTTTATGTTTTTCATTCTTTCATTAGTCCATGTAGTTTCATGTTGCTAATCTAACTTAAAATTTCTGAGAACTGAGTTATTACTTATTGAAGCAAAGTGATTTCTTTCTTTCTTTCTTTTGTTCGTTCGCTCGTTCGTTCATTCTTTCTTTCCTTCCTACCTTCCTTCCTTCCTTCCTTCCTTCCAGGCATCGAACTCATGACTGTGTGCTTGCAAGGCAGGCTAAATCCCTGGCCCTCAAGTGATTTCTTTTAAGCAGAGATATTTCTAGCATTCAAACAATTTGCCATCTTTCACTAGGCTTTCACGTCATCCCTAATTTTACCTCTTTCGGCCACATGTTTGAAGGATGCTTGGGCTTCATAGATGCCTGGCTGCTTATTACTTACACTGTAGTCTATGAACCAGCAACATTGGCATTACCTATGAAAGTGAGGCAGGCAGGCAAGGGGAGCTGTGATAGATAGAGAATCTTAGGCCATAACCTACCTAGACCTGCTGAATTGATTTGCATTTTTATAGGATCTCCATTTTAATTTTGTGCACATTTCATTTACCATGTAATTTTGTTTCTCTGTACTTTGCATATGCAGTCCTGTTTGAAATTTCTTGCCTTTATTTATTTACACAGACATTTCATATTTATTTTTTAAAATTCATTTGGTCTCTATAAACCTTTATTTGAGTTACCAGATAGAATTGAGCATCCCTTTTTGTACCCCTATTGTTTAAATAGTTTTTAAAATTCTAATTTTTTATTAGTGTATGCTTGCAGTACATGATTACATTCATTGTGTGTAATTGGTACATGTATATAACACATCTAAATTCCTTTTTCTTTTTCTTCCTCTCCCCTCCTTTCATTTGCAGAAGTTCTATATTCCTGTTTCCTATAATCTCTTATTTTTGTTTTTATTTATATTTTGAGTTTCTCATATGAGAAAAATCATGTGATACTTGAGCTTTCATGTTTGATTTATTTTACTTTACATTATGATTTCAAGGTGTACCCATTTTCCTACAAATGACTCAAATTTATCCTTCTTTGTGGCAGAATAATACTTCATTGTGTATAAATACCACATTTTCTTTATCCTTTTGTCTTAAATATATTTTCTTTTGTTAATTGACACAGTCATTGTATGTATTTATGAGGCACAGTGTGATACTTCAATCCATTTGTGCAGTATATAATGATCAGAGCAGGATAATGACGTCATTTTTGTGTTGGAAACATTATAAATTCTTTCAATTAGATACTTGGAAACAATTATCATCAACCACAGTCATCCAGCTGTTTTAGAAAACATTAGAAGTTATGTTTCCCATCCAGGTTCTCCTCTTTACCACCTGTTAGTAACCAATCCTGTCCCTCGTATCCTTGTAGCCTTCCTAAGCTCTTGTAACCATTAATGTGTTCTCTGTTTTGAGATCAACTTTTTAACTTCTACATTTGAGTGAGAAAATGCAAATTTGTCTTTCTCTGCCTAACTTACTTTTCCTAACAAATATTCTCCAATTCTATCCATGTTGCTGCAATTCTATGACAGTATTTCATTCTTTATTCTTTTGTGCCTCTATTATATGTTAAAATGTGTACCATATATTTTTTAAAATTGTATGTCTATAGTTACATGTCTTATCATAGAGTGAGTCCCAGAGAGGCAGATACTATCTTGCTTTAACCTTTTTTTTGTATACTAGTTTTTTTTAAAGGGCTGGGAATATTGTTCAGTGCTTCACCAACACCAAATTGTTGGAAGAGGGAGCATATTAAAATAACATTTACATAAGTAAAATAATTGTGCAGAACATTTTACTATGATAGGCAAGCTTAAAAGCTACATATTTTCTTTGGTGCTGATTATCTGGGACCTCATAAATGCTAGATAAGCTTCATCACTGACTGTATCCCCATGCTTTTTTTTTTTTTTAAATGAGGTTTAGCTCCACTTCCCTCCCCTTGCTCTCTGTTTCCCAGTACTGGGAACTGAACCCAGGATCTTCACACTGTGCTCTTGGGTACCAGTTCTTTAAAGAACAGAGATCTGAGATTCTCATTTTGCCCTTCACTGACTTGGGCACTAGTTAAAAAATGATGTTTAAGGTGTAGGTCTTGTCACTAAGAAATTTGCTATCTAGAAGTGTAAGAGATACATGGTAGTGACTGAATTGACAATGACAAAAAAGAGCAATAAAAAAATTCCTTTTTTTTTCCTTTTACCTCTTCCCTTCAGCCTGTGTCCTGCTGCACTGATGAATTTTTATGAGGTTCCGCAATTCTGCATAATTTAAAAGGAAGAAAATTTAAAATGTACCAGTTAAGGGCTGGGGATTTAGATCAGCGGCATAGTACCTACCTGGCAAGTGTGAGGTCGTGAGTTCGATCCCCGGTACCACACACACACAAAAAGTACCAATTAAACAAAAAACGCTAGGAAAAAAAAGATGGTGCAAAAAAGGTTTTTGATTGGAAGTAAAGGCAAAATAATAGAAAGTAGAAAAATCAGGCAAATGAATCCCTAATACTTGAGAAAAAACTGGGCTTGGGAGGATGTTGGCTCAACTGAGACCACTTAGGGTTTGGAAGACGCTGTTCTGATTCTAAGGTGTGGGATCTTGTACAAAGTGGAGGGCTAAGAGAAATTGTGTCTTCCTTTCAGGAATAAAGGAATTTTTGATTCAAAAATTGAGACTTGAGAGACATTATCTTTTAAAAAACTCCTTGTGATCATTTGATCATTTGCCTATATGTGATCATTGTCTAGTTGCTTGGAAATAATATTGTTTATCTGATATAGAGATATTGTGAGGAGAATTAAATAATACATATGAAGTACAGAAAGCAGCATGTTATGCACAGTAGACAATGCACATTATATAATGCCATCTATTTTCAGTACCATCATTTTCATGTATATACAAGTCATGGCTCAAACTGACGTGGATAGTGGCGTTGGAATGAAAGTCCTGTATATGTTGCTGCTGATAGGAGATTGATAATTGTTAGATTCAAATGCAGATGTCTTTCAATTAAAGAATTAGATGGTTTATTCTCTTTCTTCCCATCTGTATCTTTCTAAAACATATGGTTTTTTGAAATAATTTTATTTTTTTAAGTTTATAATTTCAGTTTATTCAAAAATCTCCTTGCTGAGAATTTAGCTCAGCAGCATAAGCGCCTGCTTAGCATGAGCGCAAGGTTGTGAGTTCGATCTCCGATACCAAAAAAAAAAAAAGAAAAATTTCCTGAAAAGTGGTAAAGTAGAGAAGACATATATAATGAATTATATCTTGATTTCCCCCCTTATTTTTAAATATATAAACATTATTGTAAACATTTATGTTAAAATTAGAAGTGAGATGAAAAAAATCTTAATTCTATAAGAGGTAGATCTCTTTCACATACTTCTTAAATTTTATATTATGTAAAGTGGCAAATTTTATTTCTATTTATGACTGTTTTAGCAGTTTTAAAAAATATCTGAATAAAAAAAATATCTGAATAGCTCAGAATTACTTGTTCAACTGTTTTGTGATCCTATATAAAAACATATTGATAAAATACTTTACTGAAGGATTATGCTAACGTACCTTATAAACAGCAGTATATCACACAGATTTAGTTCTTCTTTATTGTCTCCTTCAATAGCTGTTGACATTTATCAAATTTAACATTCCTGAGTGAAAAATATCAGTACATTAACTTTTATTTCTTATTGTCAAGATTGAACATTTTTTATGCTGCATTTTAAAAATTATTTGCTATTATCTTTAAAATGTCTATTCTCTAGTTTCTATCATATTTGCACATACAGGTGAAATAGCCAAACCTGAAGTTGGTGTTGGTAGTATTTTATTTTTTTTATTTATTTTTACTTTTTCAGGAGAAAATGTTGTATCATGTACTTTCATAAGTCTTAAAAATTACCAAATTGATATGAACGTGTTACTTTACAGTTGTATCTCACATGCTGTAGTTCTAAAAATACTGGAAATACTAAATTTATGCTGGTACTTTTTTTTCCAGATTGAAGAAGGAATTGTTGTAATGGAAGATGATTCTCCAGTAGAAGCTGTGAGCACACCTAATGCTCCCCGAAACCTTGCTGCGTGGAAAATTAGCATTCCATATGTAGATTTTTTTGAGGATCCTTCAGAGAGGAAAGAGAAAAAAGAGAGAATTCCCGTGTTCTGTATTGATGTTGAAAGAAATGATCGAAGAGCAGGTAGAAAGATTTATGACTACCTTTTAAAAAAGATATCCACAAATCTGTCTCTGTCACATGTGTCAGTGTTTTTCCACTTACAACTATTGAGCCTGGGCATAGTGATACATGCCTGTAATCCCAGCACTCGAGAGCCTGAGGTAAGAAGATCCCTGTGAGTTCAAGGCTGGCCTGGGCTGCAAAGTGTGTTCAAAGCCAGCTGCAACTGCATAGTGAAACCTGTCTCAAAAAGTCCAAAAAAAAAAAATATTCCCCAGTATTAATAACTATTGAATATGACTGCACATCCAATGGATAAATGTCCAGAACAAAACACTGTTTGAGAGCTGTCTACATTATTTGTTATCCATTAGCTAATTCATTTAATCAATGGTTGAGTTGATATATATGATATATGATACTCCTGACAGCCTAAGAATGCATCTTACATGATTTTTAAGATTTCCTTTTTTTTTTTTTTTTTTGTAGTACTAGGGATTGAACTTAGGGGCATTATTAACTCCCTAGTCCTTTTAATTTTTTATTGGGATCGAATTTTGCCAAGTTGTGTAGGCTGGGCTTGAAATTGTAGTGTTCTTGGTTCAGCCTCCTGAGTAGTTAGGATTACAGGCATGTGCCATCTTATGCAGCTTGTGATTTTCTTTTAATGGTTTATTGCCATTATCATTTGCCAGTATACTTAAGAGAGTGACTATTAGTAATACATACATATTTTTTAGCACTATGTTAGGTGTTATACCAATTTAGTTAAGCAGTATTTTTCCTCCCCTATTGTTTTGGACTAGTTAGAATGGATAAAAAAATATGATCAAACACAGCTTTCCATGTTGTCTTCATGTTTCACTTTTTTCTTTTGGTTGTTTCAAGTGTAGACTGTAATAAAGACAGGGGTTGAACAGCATTCATAGCAGAATAAATTTGTCATCACTGGACTTCATCTCAGAGATGGGCAGTCAGTGTAAGAAAGGGCACAGAGAGTCCTTACACATTTTGGGGATGTGAATGAAAAGAGAACTGTGAGGAAAGAAGGGGAAAAAAGTGACAAGGTTAGAAAATGGTTTTTAAAGTAAAAACGAAGTGATAGTGTGAAGATCAATACTAATCATTCTCCCTGTTTTTCAAATGGTATCAGGTTTTCTGATTTTTCTCAAAGCAAATCCTGTTTCAAGAACATAAAGCATAGAAATAGGGATGCAAAGTTGCCCAGACAGCTGGCTGTAGTTTTCCCATCATAACTAAACACTAGTGAGAGTCTTACTCTAATGAGGCCGAGCACTGCTTGGCTTTGCTATAGTTGCTAGTTTTTCAGCACCCTAATAGACGTACAGCAAATCTTTAATCTGATTTCAATTTCAGACTTAATTTTGTTTGAAAATATACTTTCGTTTTTGTATTCTAGTCATCTCTAATTTTGGTGCTTTATTCAAAAATTTTTTTGACATAACAATTTAAACCAAAAATTAAAATTAAATCTTAAAATTATATTCTAAAGATAGTTTTTGTCAGCATTGCAAATTCTGTGTTCAGTGTAATGTGCTGTTAGGAAACTGACCTGTGAGGGGGAAAGAAATAGTGTATCATTTACTATGTTGATTTTACATGTGTAGTAAACTAATATTTTCAGAATTTAAATACCAAAACTAAGGGGCTGGGGATTTAGCTCAGCGGCATAAGTGCCTGTCTTGCAAGCAGGCAGTCTGTGAGTTCGATCCCTGGTACCAATTAAAAAAAGAAATACCAAAACTAAATATACATAGATCTTTTAAGACCATTTTTTGAAGAAGAAAACTAGGATTTGGTTTATAGGTTGTGACTACATCAGATTTTTTTTTTCCTGAATAGAAGTATTGTTTTAAAACTATCCTCGTTTTAGTTGATCAATTGCATCCCCAAATCTGTGCTAGAAAGCCATGAGCAGTTAATATATAGGGGTGCTGATTCTCTGTTATATTAACCATAGCAGTTAATATATAGGGGTGCTGATTCTCTGCTACATATAAAAATACTTTATGTGGACTTTTTTAATGTGCTAGGCAAAGTTATTCTTACTTCACATCAAAGCAAACTAAGATATGATAAGATTAAATTATTTGTTTAAGGCCATATGAAAAATGAAGGAACTGGGATTGGACTCACTGTTTAAACCATTATTTTGTGCTATCCAGCCAGGTAGCTGGTGATTATCATATGTATCCATTCAAGTTAAATTATATTAAAATTTCATTCTCTTAGTTTCTTTAGCCACATTTTAGAGGCACTATATGGCTGCTAGCAGCTATTTAGTGCAGATATATTGAATATTTACGTAATTGCATAATGCTCTACTAGACAGTGCTGTTCTATATTATTAGATGAGGTCAATTTAGTAAATATTTAAGGGACTCAGAATTGATTATAAGTTTTTATGAAACACATCATTTTAGTGACATGTACAAAATAATAATTGTACTGGGCACAGTAACACACAGCTGTAATTCCAGCTCCTGAAAAGCTGAAGCAGGAAAATCACAAGTTCAAGGCCAGCCTGGGCAACATAGTAAACCCTGTCTTATTAAAAATAAAACTACAACTAAGTTATACAATTTTTTTTTAAGTTTCTGTGAGGTCTCTGATTCTGTTGTAGAAAAATATATTTACTTGAGATAACTTCATAAATACATGGCATTTATCTTCTACATAAGATATGAAATATATAAAATGCCTCTTCTGCATAGTAAGTTAAAAATAAGGTAAAATATGTTAGTATGCCCAGAATAATATGTTAGTAAGACTGAAGTAATGTCCTGCTTTATGTTTTAACTTTTGTATCCTTTTAGTAGTGAGTTGTGAAATTATTTGTTACTCACTGTATATTCAATTTGCAGTTGGGCATGAGCCTGAACATTGGTCCGTTTATAGAAGATATCTTGAATTCTATGTGCTTGAATCAAAACTAACAGAATTTCATGGTATGTTGTTTTTTTAATATATAAAACATTATAATTAGCATTAGCCTTTGTGAAAGCTGTTGTACCAAATTAAATTTTTGTTTAATTATGCCAAAGAAATATGAGTAACAGATGCATATGCTTTTATTGGTAATATGAATGTGCCATTATTATTTTTTAAATGTTTGATTACTTATAATTTTTTCGCTCTTCATATTGCCCTTTTTTAAAAAGTGAAATTCCATGGAAGAATCTTTTTAAAATTAGTAATGTGTGTCTTACATAATGTTTATATTCCTTGTGGAGAGTTGGCACATACACACATAGCACATGGATTGGCTTATCTTTTTGCATTAAGGCTTATTTGATTTTTCATTTTTCTGATAGTAATTGTAAATACTTGGGTACACTGGTATTTGTTTCATATATATTTATGGTTGTTATCTCTTCCTCTTGGATTGTTCCCTTTACTCAAATGGAACGACTTTATCTCTCTCAATCAGTCTTAGCTTGAAATTCAAGCTATTTGTCTGCAAATAGAATAAGTACCCCTGCTTGTCTCTGGGTTCTTGTTGCATGGAGTATTGTTTTTCCTTCTTTGACTTTTGGTCTGTGAATTTCTTTTTGAATTAAATATGTTGCTTGTGTGCAGCATGTTGTTGGATCTTGCTTCTTTACCCATTCTTCCAGTCTGTGTCTTCTGATTAGTGAACTAAGACCATTAACATTGATAGTTATAACTGAAATGCATGGCTTATTCTTGTCATGTATTTTCCTGTTGTTAGCTCCTCCTACTCCATAATTGTTTGTCTTGCCTGGTGGATTCCTTTTGCTATGATTCATGGCACTGTAGTCTTTATTATCTCTTTCTAGAATGTCCTTCAGGGCATTTTGGAGTGCTGGTTTGGTGGTGATAAATTTCCTCCTATGTTCTGTGTCATGGAAATATCTTATTTCTCCATCAATTTGGAAAGATAGTTTTGCAGGGTACATCAGTCTGGGTTGAATATTGTTTTCCTTTAGAACTTGGAGTACTTCACTCTAAGCTTTTTTTGACTTGAGAGTTTGTGCTGAGAAGTCAGTTATAATTCTGATGAGTTATCATTTATAGGTGATTTGTTTCTATTCTCTAACAGCTTTTAGGATTCTATTCTTGTGTTGAATTTCTGGAATCTTGATTATGATAAGCCTGTAGATTTTTTTTTAATCATTGCTAAATGGAGTTCTATATGCCTCATTCATCTGCATGTTATATTCTTTTTCTCTACAGGGAAAGTTTTCTGTCATGAAGCCTATAAATATTTTTTAATATCTTTATGGTATGTTTTGCTTGTTCATTGACTCCAGTTAAGTTATTCTTTTTTGCCTCATCTAGCAGCTGCTGGATTGATTTCTCATGGTCCCTTGCTAGTTTTGAGAAATCTTTCTTTTCCTGGTCACTAACTACCAGCCTGTCTTCAATATCTGAGATCCTGTCCTCATATTGGCCTAATGTTTCCAATACTTTCAATAGAATTTTTTTATTCTCCTGGATGTCTGCTTGAATCAGATTTATGGATTTAATTTGTTTCCTATGCTGATCTTCTATAATTTTCTTAAACTTATCTGTTTCTTTGTTTGTGTCTGGTCTAATGTGGCTAAGCATGGTTTGTATATCGGTAATCTCTGTAATAATTGAGGGATTATTTCTGATTGTTATTACCACTTCAGAGAGGCCTGGTGGGGGTTTTCAGATTGTCCTACCTCATTCGCTCTGAATTTGCGTTTGGTGAACTGGATGTCGGGTTGCATTTTGCTTAAGTGTCTTCTCATTTTCTTTCCTCTCTTTTTTTAGTTTAATTCCTGGTGTGATGTTTGTATGCTGCCTATGATAGGTTATTTTATTGCTAATAATTAGGACCCTTAGGTGATGACTACTTCTCTGAGGTATCTTCCACATACAGCTGGTTTTTAGGTTTTGAGTCTGTTTTTGGAAGATGTTACTCTTTAGTATGTTGGAGATGAGAAGTTGTTGCTCATTTGGCCCAGTTCCTGGTTCTTTGGCACTGTGCCACAGAATTTTCTGTTTCTTAGTCTCAGTTGTGGATTATTAGGGCCAACAGCTGTTAGGAACAATTATGTTAATTTTGGCCATAGTGGTACCAATAACATCAAACACAGCCTGGAAAACAGCAACCTGAGCTAACCCTTATGAGCTAGATTTGTGATTGTATAACAAAATGTAAGATAAACCAGGTAATTATGTGTAACATATAAGCCCATAATGTTTTTAATTTTGCCCTCAAGTGTTAAAATTTAAAATGGATTAAGGAGACAATAGAGAAGTAGAAGAAGAGAAAGAAATTAGAAATAAGGTTGAAGGAAAAAGGGGAATCATGCCGGTTTGGAGAAACTAGTACAGAAGACTGAAAGAAAAGGGAGATATAAGAGACAAAAGGAAGAACAATCAGAGCCACACCATTATGGAGGTTATAAACCACTTTCACAGTCATATGAAAACAGTGAAGGAGAAAAAAAAACCATACAGTCCACTTACAGGATTCTCTTTGTTTTCACTAGTAGACAACCTGTGGAGACAGAGTCCCAAATCCTGTTGATCTGTCCCAGCAAGCCAGCAGTTCCTTTATGACAGGCTAGTGGATAATCTCAGCAGTACTGCCCTGAGACCAGACACATTGGGCTCACCGCCCAAGCAATTTCTAGGCCCAGGCGGGTGCTACTAGATGAAGCAGTTCTGGGCTTCAAGTTCATCTGGCCTGACTCTAAGGTGGCTCCTGGCTGATCACTCTCTCCGCATGGACTAAGTGCTCTGCAGTCACTGCCAACCAGTGTATTCCTCCACATCCACTGCTTCCCTCCACTACCGATTCTCTGCAGCTGTCACCATCATGGTGACTGTGCATCCCCAGGTTCAAACAGCTCTTCTCCCACAGTGAGCCCTTCTCAGGGTGCAGGCACTGCCTGCTACTACCTTCTTGAAGTTTTTCTTTTCACTCTCTTTATGGGCTTCAGTTTGCATTTCAGATTCTTCCTGGGTCCAGTAGACCCACTTCCTTCCTCCTTATGTTCCTCATGATGCTATATACTAGCATTTGGGCGATAGCTCTCAAAGACGCTGTTTTCTTTGCTGCTTAGCACTGCCATCTCCCCAGAAATCCCATCAATTTAAAAACAATGTCATGACAATTTTTTGAAGCTGTTTTACTGCTGTAGAAGGCTACAAATCTTGTTTCAGTGAAAAGTGGTTGTTGAGAGATACATTTTTGGTTTCAGTAGACTACAAGTTTTGAATCTGAACTTCTGATCTGAAGCTCTCTGATTTTGTAGAGATTTCTTAAAAGATAAACCTACAAAGCTATATTATGAGCTTGTATTTTCCATACTAAATGTGTAACTAGTTTTTTGAAGCTGTGGGAGAGCATAGTAAGAATTTCAGTATGTGCAAATTTTAGGAACATTTCCTGATGCCCAGCTTCCCTCCAAGAGGATCATTGGCCCAAAGAATTATGAATTCTTAAAGTCAAAGAGAGAAGAATTTCAGGAATATCTACAGGTATGCTACCAACTGTATTGCTTAATTTTAAAACATTCTACTTATAGTATTTTCAAGTTTGTCTCTTTGTTGTTATCTGTAAATGATTGTCCATGTGAAATTTTTAAGAATTTTGTTTTATAGCCACCATAGTGGCATGTATCTTTAAACCCACCATTCAGGAGGCTGAGGCAGGATGATCACCATGAGTTCAAGACCAGCCCTGTGCTACATATTGAATTCAAGGCCAGCCTAAACTACATAGTGATGTGTAGTACTTTATGAACTTTGGAATATTGTTTGTTGTTATATTCTTTAGTCTGTTTGCATTTGTAGTTTATACCTTACCTGTCTTTTCAGTTTTCTAGGATCAACCACTTGAAATTAAATTCCATTTTTGTATTTACACCATATTGAATAATCAGTGTAATTGGTGTATTATTTCAGTGGGTGGTACAGATACATATAATACTTTCTTGAGATATTTGGGTTTCCAAAATTAATGATTGTATTTTTTTTAATAAGGTGTCTAAGAGCAAAGAAAATATTTTTACTGGATTAAAAAGTCTTTTATTTGTGCATGGATTTTATAATTTTAAGAATACAGTTAAATTTATGTACTTCTTAACCAAGGATAAATATCTTTTAAGTTAAAAATTTTCAACAGTATGCAGTCTTTATATTTAATTCCTTGTATCTGAACCATTGAATGCTTTTAACTCAGAAATATTTTTTCTATAACTCTTTGGTGGTGTGAATATTGTAATATGAAGTAACTGTTAACTACTGCAAGGATATTTGGATACAGCATAACCTGTCTTTATTGATATTATTGACCATTATTTTAACCAACTAATTCTTTCTGAGAATTAGAAAACTTCATTTTAGAAGTGATTATTTTCTGGTAATAAAGGCTTAAGTTAGTGGTTGTTTTCCTGATATTTTATGTAGAATTGTGCTTATTAGGATTCCTGCATAACCCAGTATTAGTTAAGACTAGGTCAGTTTTGGCTTTTAAAGGTCAGTTTATCTTGCTGGCAAATAGTGTTACAAGAATTGAAGGGAGATTTTCTAAGTTTTTTTTTTTTTTTTTTTGTCTCACATTGTACACATTTATTGTTTCATGAAACTATGCCACTTCTTTTAATTTTCAAGAAAGGAAGCTAGGAGTGGTGGGTGACACATGCCTGTAATCCCAGCAATATGGATCCTCCTAATAGGAAGATGAAAAGTTCACACCTATTCAAGCAATTTAGTGACAGACCTTGTCTCAAAATAATACATTAATAAAGGGCCAGTGATGTAGCTCAGATAGAAGTCCTGAATTCCATTTATAAAAAGTTAAGAAAGTTGTATCATATTGTAATACTCATTTTTTAAATGGAAATTGAGAATATCTTCCTTTTGCATCAATGCTATAAAAGCTTTATATAACAGCACTAATAAAGTAGTGTTATCACCCCATTTTACAGGAGAAAACTAACTCTTGTGCAACATAATATTTCTGAGCTCATCTTGCTAGCAAATAGAAGAGCTAGAGTTCAGATCCAGTTGTGTCTGACCAGAGGCTGAGGTTTTATCTATGATTGTAGTACTTGTATTACAGTACTATTACTGTACTGTGCATTGTATGCATACACTAGTTTTGTCACTCAGAATATTAAAAAAGTAGCCTTTGGCGATTTAAAGTAGATTTTGTTTTTTATTTGTGTAAGGTCATTACTGTACAATTTTGAATACCATTCTAGATCTCTAACCTGTTCTTTTACTCTTGTTTATTTAAGAAACTTCTGCAGCACCCAGAATTGAGTAATAGTCAACTTTTGGCAGATTTTCTGTCCCCTAATGGTGGGGAAACACAATTTCTTGATAAGATACTTCCAGATGTAAATCTTGGTAAGTCAATCGAAAGAAACATATATGAGATAAACTAAAAAGAGAAGAATCTATTTTCAGATTGATTTAGAAAAATAGTTTCTGTGATAAGGCCATGTAATAAATTTGTAGGAGATTTTTGTAGTGGAGACAGATTGTCAGTTGATGACTTTAACCTGTTCATTTTGTGAGTTCTGATTATTCTAAGCAGTTACTTCTGATCATATATTCTGTCACAAAATGTTGTTATTTGCCAATGTATTTGTTTCTTTATTTTCTAAATGTAAATAAAGTCATATGCCATGTAATAATGTTCCTGTCAGTGACAAACTATGTATATGTTGGTAGTCAAAATATATGGCCTATTTGACTTTGTAGCTCTCTTAATATGTGTAAGTACGTTCTGTGATATTCACACAACAGCAGAGTCACCTAATAACCCATTTCTCAGAATGTATCCTTGTCATTAATCAGTGTATGACTGTATGAGAAACTGGGAAAGGTATTTACAGAGTATATTATATAAATAGATATGGTATTTGAAGCTACTCATAAAATCTGAAAAAAGATCAGATCTATGATTTAAGACTTAGCTGCTTTTTTCTACATCTTATAATGCATCTTTCCTTTTTTTATAATTTAAATTATATATAATTTTTTTTGATGCCAGAAATCAAACTCAGGACCTTGTGCTTACCAGGCAGACACTTGTGCCACTGAGCTATATCCCCAGCATAAATATTTCTTTAAGCCTAATTTTCTTTGGGTAGTTTATAGTGATAAGTCTGGTAAGTAAAAGCTGTATAAGTTAGTTAAATCGAATTAATGTTTTTAGCAAATTTTTTCCCATGCTATTTTTGACTATATTTAAAGTTTATCAAATTGGCTAGAAAATTTTGGAAGGGATATACACATGGGATAGAATATGTGGAAACATTTCTGCCTTGAATCTTAATGTTTTTAAATTTGTTTTCCTTTTGTTGATAATTTGGAAAAAATTAGGTGAATAAAATTTTGATCATTAATTTCAGAGTAACTTTTTAATTTATAGAACCATCTTGTAGGTTGTAGATTTCCTTGTTTCCACTAGCAGTATTTTAAAAGGCAATTACAGATATGTGAAAAGCTTACAGTGGTCTATTTTTTTAAGTATTAATTTTTATTAGGGTAGCTGGTATTCATAGACAAAGAATAGCCTGCTGAGATACGAAAGACATTTTGCTATGATTATTACTATTAGAAATTGATAGTTTTTTGTTTGTTTAGTTTTGTTTTTTTGTGACAAGAGCTATCTATGTAGATCAGACTGGCCTTGCTTGAACTCATTATGTAGCCCAGGTTGACTTGAAATTTGCAGCTATTCTCTTGCCTTCCAAGTGCTGAGACTGCAGGTATGTCCACCACTCTCAGCTAGAAATTGGCAGTATTTTTTGAAGATAATGTTTCAGGTATGTTTTTTGTGTTATTACTACTTGAGCATCTAATTCTAGTTGACACTTTTTGATAAATTATTGTAGTTTTTCTAAATAGCAAAAGATCACCAAAATCCAGGTTGTATTTTTCTTTTTTTGGGACAGTCTTGCTATGTAATTCAGGCTGGACTTGCATTCACTTTGTAGCCCAAGCTGGTCTTGGACTTGCAAGGATCCTTCTACCTCAGCCTTCCAAGTGCTGGGATTACAGGCATGGACCATGCCTGGCGGTTATGTTTTTCTAATCACTGATCCATTACATACACTATAAATATGCACTCTTGGAAAAAAAAAAAAAGAGAGAAAAGGAAGAATTTAGGCTGTGGACATTGTGCAGTGGTAGAGCACTTGTCTAGCATGTGTGAAACATTGTGTTTGAGCCACAGCACTGAGGGAAAAAGTCAATTAAGAATTTTTTTAAATTTTTAAATTATTTTTAAAAATTTACTTTAAAGAAGATAAAACAGCATGAAATCAATCAAAACAAACCAGTGAAGAGATACAGGCCTAAAAATATTACAAAATCAACGAAGTTACCATAATGCGTTTTTGATATCTTCAAAATAGCTGCAGATAACTTTGGACATAATAAAAATCAAACAGAACAGAATAGAATAGAGACAGTAGAAACAAGACAATTCAGTAAAGGACTTCAAAACAAGCCAATAGTAAATCCAAAATTGTTGCCATCCTGTATCTTGCTATCTTTGAAATAGCTGCTCCTGCCATCAGATTTAGCATAATTAAACAAGAGAATAAAATTCAACTCCCCAAAAAACAGTGGAAACGGTATAGGATTTCTAAAACAATAGAAAGTCAAAAGTGACTACAGCCCTCAGAAGGAGATCTCCCCTAGATGCCACACTGCATACCACTATCCTCTGAACCTATGATCAGACCACTGGCCCTAGACCTGCAATGTTAGTAAAACACCAGCGCACCACAGGCATCCAGTTACATTTCACCTTCATAGCTGTCATCACAGCCTGTGTTTCTCCAGATAAACTGGTTGCTTTGGGGACGTATATGGAATGATACTTCTTGTTTGCCAGCCAATGTGTAGGAAGAGGCTGGGGTCTGCTTGATCCAGTCTGGTGGGGGTCCACACGTGGTGCTGGTTCCTGAGCTGGGTTTGCTTGATGTGTCTTGTCATCTGTTTTCTCTGGCTCTGGTCCACGAATGGTGCTGACTCACAGGGACAGGCTAGGGTCTGGCTGTTAAGAATTTTAAAAAATTTTTAAAGAATTTTTAAAACAAAAGACTTTATGGTCAAAAAAAAAAAAAAAGACTTAAAAACTTCCAATATGTTACCTTGTAGGTCTGCTTTGGTTTTAAAAACTGCTTCAGTCCTCATCCTGTCTGCTGATCGCGTACGCGTGTGTGTGTGTGTGTGTGTGTGTGTGTGTGTTGTGCGCGTGCGCGCGCGCCTGTGTGCCTGTGTGTCTGTGTGCTTGTGTGCCTGAGACAGTTCATTGTGTAGTCCAGGCTGGCCTTGAATTTGCAGGCTCCTCCTGCCTTGTCTCCTGTGTGTTGGGATTGCAGGCATGTACTGTCACACTCAGCCTATATATTGCTTTTTAACTAGTTTCCTTAAATTTATTTTTAAATTTTTATTAGTACATGTTTGCAGCTCATATCCATTTGTTCTGGGGAGTTGATACGTGTACGTAGCACATCTTAATTGATTTTACTCCCCCTTCCTCGTCTTTTGGGTCTCTTCCCACTTATAAAAAAAACTCCCTGATTGCTCTTACCTATCTTTTATTTTATTCTTCAAATGATTTATATTTTGAGTTTCACTGTGTGATATTTGTGCTTGCGTGTCTGATTTATTTCACTTAACCATGGTCTCAGGGAGCATCCATTTTCATGTAGAAGCCTCAAATTTATACCTTCGGGAGAATAGTATTGTGTTGTGTATAAATACATTTTCTTTATTCATTCATCTGTGGACCACTTCCCCAAGATTTAGTTATTATGAGTAGTGGTTGCTATAAACACTAGTCTGAAAGTTATCAAAGTATTATGTTGAGCTCTTAGTAGAATGGGACTGGCTGGTTGAATGAAATTTCTATTTTTAGTGTTTTGAGGGCTCCACATACAGATTTCCATAGTAGTTTTACTACTTTGTATTCCTACTTTCTGGCCAGTCTTTCTGGAGTAAAAAGGAATTTCAGAGTTTTAATTTGCATTCTGCTAATGCTAGAGATGTTAAACATTTTTTCCATTTATTGGGCATTTCTACTTCTGAGAAGTGCCTACTTATTTCAGTTGTTCATTTTTGGTTCCTTTATCTTTGGGGATCTAATTATTTTGAATCCCTTATGAATTCTAGAGTATATAATCCTCTGAGGAACAGCTAGGACAAAATGTTTTCTGTTCTGTAGGTTGTCTTTTCATTCTGTGGGTAGTTTTCTTTGTTGTGCAGATCCTTTTTAATTTGATGTAGTCCTGTTGGTTGATTCTCGATGTTATTTCTTGTGACGGGTTCTATTCACAAAGTCCTTGATTATGCCTATGTCTTTCATCTATTCTGTTTTCTAGCATATTGAGAGTATCAAGTGTCAAGTTTTGATGCAGATGTGAAGTAACGGTTTGGTAGAAAAACTGAGTGTCCTAGTAATTCTCTAAAATATGTACTCTGGAAAATCTTGAGTCCATGTTTTAAAATGTTCACAGCACCTTTGTAGTAGCTCAAACTATAAACAGTGTGATTGTTAGTAGAATGGACAGTTAGACTGCTAGATTTATAAAAAGTTGAAACCTGTAGCTTGATGCAGCTTGCAAAAATGTATTTGAATTTTTAAAACATAAAGCAGAATGAAACAAGCATAAAAGAATAAATATAGCATGATTCCTTTCATGTGAAGTTCAAAATTAATACTAGCTGGAAAACTTTGAATAAAATCGTCAAACTAATATGAGACAAAAAGCAGGAATTTTCCACATTTTACATAATATAATCTTAAGTATGTATTTGAAACTACGTCCATGGATTAGCTCTTACACAAAGGTGTTTGGCTTGTATCTCGTCCTCATAAATTAACACACTTAGTGAATCCAAATTATTTGGTTTATGTGGTCTTCTTACAGTGGAAACGGAGGATAGTTTACTTTATGTTGGGTTATGTGTAATGTTTAGGAAGTAGAATTGGGTGGATGTGGATGTTAAGTAGGTTTGATTTAAGGTGAAAAAATGATCAAAGATCACCCAAATTTAACTGTGTGAATGCTGGTACTTGCTGGATAAGGGTAAATTAGGAGCTGTATTTAACTTACTGGGTTTATGGTATCCAGCTGAAGCAGTTTGATAGGACAGGAGACAGCTAAAGCTTAGAACTTGACTTGCTATAACATTCAGCAAATATTCCAACACATAGAGAAGGGCATAGATAAAAACCTACAATATAAGGAATTCAAAGACATTCTGAGGGGATTAGAGGTATTACTAGGAGTATGAAAACCAAAAATAGCCAAATGGGAGATTTGGGTAGTTTGTAGGAAACATCATTTTTACTTTTTGTTATTCATGTCTCCTATCTACTGGTTTTTTTTTTTTTTTTTTTTTTTTGCTATATTTAGCTGAAAGAAATTTTAAGTTGTATTTGTTGATTTTAGTTTGTTTCTATGTTACTTTAAATACTTGAGAAAATCTTAAGATGTTTAATATTTTTTTTATGCTAAGAAGAGCCAAATGTTCAATATTTTTTAATAAGGAAAATGAGATTAAGAAATTAGGAAAATAGGATTAAAATAAAAATTCTAAAAATTTGGAAAGGGAAACTATTCAATTAGTTTAAATGCTATATGCATTATATACATTTTCTTTCTTTTCCTTTTTTTTTTTCCTTTCTTTTTAGACAGTCTTGCTATGTGTAGCACAGACTGGCCTCAAACTCACAGCAGTCCTGCTACACTTAGCCCTCTGAGTGCTGTGATTACAGGTGTGTGCTACTATGCCCAACAGTGTTACATAAATTCTTAAAACTTTTATTTACTATTATGTTTCTAGATACTATTATGTATTATTACTTAAAATCTTTTTTCTAAGTAGGTTTTATTGGTGCATTTTAGATATACATAACAATCAAATTCATCATAGAGAATTTGAAAATCTTTTGAAAACTTAAAATTGAAGTTTTAAATATACACAAAAGTAGGGAAAATATATAATGAATTCTTTTTAAAAATTTAAAAAAATTTTTTTCAAATTTTATTTTAAAGAGGATAAAATTAAACAGAACATCATAAGAAAACAATGTAAGAGACACAGATTTCAAAGCAAGACAACCAGAAATCTTCACTATCATATTGTCTTTTGTTTTCTTCCAAATAGTTGTCCAGATCTTCACATACAATGAACTCATACCAAAACAAAATAGTATGAAACTGATCAGAACAGGATGATGAAGACATTTTAGGTGTCAAAACCAGACAATAGGGAAGTCAACAATGGCTGCCATAATGTTTCTCATTCTCTTCAAAATAGCTGTTCATACCTTCATGTATGTTGAAATTAAACATACAAAACAGACTAAAATCACTCTGAACAAAGAATAATATTATTGCTGGATTTCACATCATGACACTATGGAATCAGCACTGGGTATCTCAGTGTCTCTTTTTCTTCAAAGTAGCTGTTCATTTCATCCTGCATTATATAATCAATTCTCATCAACTGTTTAGGAGAAGTTCTACGCATGCATGAGTCTCTATGTGTATACCTATCCTTTCTGTATTGGAAAAACAAAAAAAAGACAAAACAAATACCTAGAAAAACGAAATGAAAAAGACATATAAACGACAACAGCAAAGAGCCCAGAACACTGACAATATAGGCCTTCAAAACAAGGTGGTAGGAGCATAACTAGGGCTCTTACTTTACATAATGATCTTCAGAGTTCCTCAGATCACCATACACTAATATGCACAATTGTTCCAATCCTATAATGAATTCTTTGCTCTGCTTCAACAGTTATCAATACTAGGCTTGTTCCACCCCATCACTTCTTACCACACTAGATTATTTTAAATTAAATCCCACATGTGTCTCTATTACACTTATTGTAAATTTCTGTTGAGTGTGAAGAGTCCGATACAAATGCTTTTTAGAGCTTTAAATTTCACTGGATTTTTTTCTATTTAAAATTATCTAAGGAAATACATAAGCAATTACAAAATATATTATGTCTTCATAAAATTAATGTTTTACTTTTGATTGCAGGGAAAATTATAAAGTCTGTTCCTGGAAAACTAATGAAAGAGGTAAATAAATTATGTGCATTTATAACATTACCATCATAAATATTGGGTTTGGTGATACTAAAAGTCATAATCTTGATTTTCAATTTTCTTGCAATAATCTCTTACCACAGAAAGGTCAGCATTTGGAACCTTTCATCATGAATTTCATTAATTCTTGTGAATCTCCAAAGCCCAAACCAAGTAGACCAGAATTGACCATTCTCAGCCCTACTTCAGAAAACAACAAGAAGGTACTGCATGTTTTGTTTAAGAGACATTAGATCAAGAGCCAAGCCTAGAACTGATATTGAGATTGTGCAGGAATGTAGTTATGGAAAAGAATGGTCATTGGGGCTGTCATTTTATCAGTCTACCGTAGTTTTTTTTTTAACCACCTTTGAAAAATGTTCAGCTGTTACCTTCTTTGTAGATAGATACTGCCTTTTTCCTATTCTAATGCATTATCTCCTTTTGGAACTCTGATTTAACTCTTTTTCTGTTTTCCATATCTTTTAAACAATATTTTTTTGTCTTGTCTCCCCATTACTTTCTGGTCTATCTCTGTTTATTTTTTTTCTGATCTGTCTCCAACTCTACCTGCTTTACAATGTATGGTCTTCTGTTTAAACCTATTCAGACTTTAAATTTTTTTTTCTATTTTGAAGAGAAAAAAAGCAGAAAAGTAAAAAAGCAAACAAATACCTATTCATACTTTTAAGACATTTTCATTTTTAATTTTAGAATTTTCAAAAACTTTCTACCAAGTGTACGATTTTTCTTAATGGTAGTGGTTTGTTATTCTGCAGACCTTTTTAGGCAAGCAGGAATTAGATCTAATCTATTGTGTTATGAAATACTGCTTGGTACCAAAGTTTGTTTAACAGTTAAGTGTACACACCACGACTGTAGGGTGAGGAGGAATCTATCTAGTGTTCTGAAAAACGTAATAGTTAATTAAGATGAACCAAAAATCTTTTTGGTTCATCTTAAATTTGTTTTTGGATTGTGCTTTGTCTCTATTAACAGATAGTTTGCTTTCTTTAGTGGTCCTTTGCATTTATCTTTATTGAACACAAAAATTCCATTAAATATCATTGTTAGTATAAAGTATATGAATAAAAATTGATATTTGGGCCTTAATTTTCCCTCCCCTCCATTTAGGCATCATCTTAGGTGGTTAAGTCTCAGACCACCTCAGTAATAGTTGTTTCCCAAGAAATAGACATAGATGCAGTGCAACTTAGTAATACTTACTTTCTCAGGACTATTATGAATGTACCTTTTGTTGAAATTCAGAACTGTTTAAAAAGATGTAAGAAACACTTAAATTCTTGAGGTCGCCTTTACTATATATGCATACTTTTGAGTGGTAGAATTTTAAAGATCTAGTGCATAGGATTACAGTGATTACCCTGGTGAAATGCAAGGAAAGAATTTCACTAAAGTGTGAATTTTAGTATATAAGAACTATATCTACAAAATGTTTTTGGAAGTTTGATCAAAATGAAAGTTTACTTTGCTTGTTGCTTGTAAATGAACCCAACCTTTAGGGAAAGGAATTTGGTGCCCTGCAAAAAATCATCAGGTCTTTTATTCCTTGATTTGGTATCCCAAGTGACAGGAATTTTTCAGAAGAAGATAATCTAATAGAAGTACCTATGGTAAATAAATGTGTTTATTAAACTATTTTTTATGGAAGTGAACAATTGGAAACAGCATGAAACTGATAGAATAGAAATGATTAATTCAGCATGTACTCAAAGAATATTGTACAGTAGGTAGATATACTTAGACACACTATAAAATATAAATGTACTTGATGTGGCTCTAAGTGAAAGAAGTAGGAAGGGAGATGAAGATAAAGTACTATTTTTTTAAATCCCCTTGATTGTAGTCATTTAGCTATAGACTAAAAGGAAATTTACAAAATTGTAAATTTTGTAGCTATGGGATTAGGTGCTTAGCTAGTTTTGCTCCCTCTCTTCTCTAGACTATTACTGTTCTCTGATGAAAAAATTGAAAGCATGGAATAGAGGCACTTGACAGAGAACTGTTTTCATGTTTTCTGGTTGAGGAAAATGTTTTAAATATATGCATCTAGGTAAAAAGGCTCTAACAGAAGAATATGTTGGAATAATGCAACATGGGATATATGTTCTGTGTTTCTGAAACTTTTCTAGGAAGCTTTTCAAAAAATTCATCTGCAGATAAAATTGAATACGCTTTCCTCTACAGTCTCCTTTATTTTTCTTACAACCATTGTTTTATGTTATTTTCATTTATTTATTGACCTATTTCTATTAGATGTTAATTTTCTGACCTATCTCTGTATTCTTTACCATTTACATGCTATCTTACACACAAAATAATTAATAGTTATGAATGGATATATGAATAAACAATGCTTTTCTTAAAACCAGTTACCTAAGGTATATTTGGTTATTACTATTGATGATAGACTGCATATTTTGGGATAAGTGGGGCTGAGATTTAGTTGTTTTTCATCGTTTTTTTGAATGTGAGTAATTGTTCATAGATTGCTTTTTTCACATTGATTAAACCTTTCTGGGCTTTGAATATTATTGTACAGATGAACTTCACTGAAAAACTATAATCTCTACTCATTAATTGATGGTGATTTATAATTTTTAAGTCATGTTGGTATTAAAATTAGGCAAGAATATTTACACATTTTTAAATTATTTTGCTTCTTTTAATGTATAAAAGCAAAGGAGGCGGCTGGATATGCTGGCACACATCTGTAATCCCAGCACTCAGGAGGCCAATATAAGAGGATGACTGCCGGCTTGAGGCCAGCCTGGGCTACATAGTAAGCTCAAGGCCAGCCTGGACTGTGTAACAAGACTCAAAAAAAAGAAAAAAGCATGCATAATAAATTATCTGTTGTATCTAAAGTGAATGCAAGTTTTTATGTACCATTTTGGAAGGAATATATATGTTTTATATAATTTTGGGCATGAGAAATTTTGAAAGCAGATTTTAACCTGATATTGTTTTATATGGTAAAGTCTTAATTAAATACCCTTGTTCTGAGTTATTTAGTCTTAAGTGATTATCATTATTAGAAACAATAAATATCTATTATTTCAACTTTTACGTTAGCTTTTCAATGATCTGTTTAAGAATAATGCAAACCGTGCTGAGAATATAGAGCGAAAACAAAATCAGAATTATTTTATGGAGGTGATGACTATAGAGGGAGTCTACGATTACCTGATGTATGTAGGTAAGATCTAAGTGATTTATGTTAAAACTTATTTTTCATTTATCTGTCTTATTTCTTCTTTAATACAAATTACTGCTTATCAATTTTGTTTCATTTTGCCTTTTTTTAAAATTGGAAGGTACTATATCTGTAAGAATTTAATACAGTTGGTTTTGAACATATAAAGTTGCTAGTGTTTCCTAATAAAACAGTAACCATTGTAATTTGTATTTTCTGTATTGGAAAACATCAAAAATACTTCTTTTTCTTGAACAAAGTATTTGATTGATTCTTCTCAGGACGGGTGGTTTTCCAGGTTCCTGACTGGCTTCATCATCTATTAATGGGAGCTCGAATCCTCTTTAAAAACACCCTGGAAATGTATACTGACTACTATCTTCACTGTAAACTACAACAGCTCTTTCAGGAGCACCGTTTGGTCTCACTCATAACACTTCTCAGAGGTATTTTGTTATATCTTTGTTGCATAATTTTGTATAATTGGTGGGTTTCGCTGGATGTAAAACAGTAAAAAAGTCTTATTTTTCTTCAGTACATTAACATTTCTACTATGAGGAAAAAATAAGAGAATACAGAAATATTGGTTTTTGTACTTTTTTTTAGATGCTATATTCTGTGAAAATACTGAACCTCGCTCCCTCCAGGATAAGCAAAAAGCGGCAAAAAAGACATTTGAAGAAATGATGAATTATATTCCAGGTGTAGTATTTAAGTAACTTAATAGATTATCTGTTCCTTTGAGGTCACAATGTGAGATTTTAGCAGTAGTTACATTAGCCAATTAAAGTTAACTCACTAGCCGGGTGTGGTGGCTCATGCCTGTAATTCCAGCACTTGGAAGGCTGAGGCAAGAAGATCATTGCAAGTTCGAGACCAGCCTGGGCTACAAAGTGAGCTCAAGGCCAACCGGAACTGCATAGCGAGACCCTGTCTCAAAAAAGCCCCCCCCCCCAAAAAAAAAAAATTAATTCACTAAATGTAATTTGTTCTTTTCATGTTACCACTAAGAACTGTATTTGTTTTTATTTATTTGTTTGTTTGTTTTTGTCTTTCTGAGACAGAGTTTTGCTATGCAGTTCAGGCTGGCCATGAACTCACTTTGTAGACCCAGGCTGGTCTCAAACTCAGTTATCCATCTGCCTCAAGCTCCTGAATGCTGGAATTACAGGTGTGCACCACCATGCCCAGCTCACTAAAAGCTTTAAAATAAGGCTGTTTCTCCTCACACTATAGCCAGATTCTTTCAGCAATAACTTGTCATCAAGTTAGTTAAAGTGATGTGTAATATGATGATTGAAGTCCTGCTGTCCACAAAATCCTTACAGTACCTGCATTAGTATATATGACTAAGAGATCAAAATTCATTCATTCATTCAAAATTTATTGAATGTCTTCTATGTCCCAGGAACTGTTCAGAATGCAAGCATTGTAAAAAATGTACTTCAGTAGCTTAGTCTAGTAGGAAAGCAAGCATTTAGATAAAATACACATGTGTTGATACAAGTACATTCAAATTACAGAGAGAGCACTGAGGAGGAATAGGGTCCCCTCTTTTGTAAAGTTGGTAGTTTTGGGCCATGACGTAAGCTGGTGATAAACTCTTAATGTGATGGGAAATACAAGAGGAAATAACAAGCAGTTGGGCAAAACAGAGAATATTTAGTTCAGGAGATACATGTGAAACTAATGAAAGAGAAAGGAAATGTAGTGTGGGTAGACTCATAGAGGTAGGGAAGACATATGTGAATAGACGCTAATGCCTAGGGAGAAAAACAGAAAGGAGAAAAGGATGACTTGAGTTTTAGTGCATCATGCAAGAGTCTAGAAGTTGCCAGTGTATCCTAGTAACAAGTAAAAAGCTGAACATACTAAAAAAAAATCAACACCTAGGTCATAGAGAAATAGGGTCACGGGAAATTACCCCCCCCCCCCAAATTTGAGCGACGAATAGATAAATACAGAGTTGTAGCTAGTTGGAGTAGAAATCCATGAACACAAATCTCTGTGGGAACTAGTGCTAAAGTAAGGAAGTCTGAACTATAACTGAAAAATTGCTGGAACTGCAGCTGACAAGTCTTAATAGATTAGAAACTCCATTAGGAACAATGCCACAGAGGCCCAAATACTTTTGTGAATTTACATTCTCAAAGTGAGCATCAGGGAAAAGAGGGAGAGGGGGGAAATAAGCATTTTGAACTATGTTAGAACATTCTTTTCTTTTTACAGAAACCAAGCAGAGTGTAACTGTCCTGGGGGAAAGGAAATAATCTAAGTCCAGCCAGCCCCAGCTTTCTTTGTCCTACTCTGACTGGTTCTGTCCTACTTCAGGGACTGAAAAAAGCATGTGTGAAGTTGTTTTTCAGATTCACTAAAAGACCTGTACCTAGGACTATAGAATCCTTGTTTTCTCTTTATGATTTACCTCTGGTTTGTTAAAGGCATGTTTGCAGCAAGCAGTTTTTTATGCTCAGTATGTCTTGTTTAACTACTAAAACACATTTATGAAGCATACAATAAGGCAAGAAATAATATTTGAAGAAATAGAATAAGCATCAAAATCAGAATAAGCATCAAAATCAGACTCAGCTGTGGCAGGAATGTTAGAATTAACTGACAAGGAATTTAAAAATAACTATGAATAAGATTCTGAAGATTCTAATGAATGAAGTAATTAGCATACAAGAAGAGATTGGGCAGTATAAGCCGAGATTAAAAACACCACAGTAGAAATGCAGAATACCTTTTATGGGCTTATTGGTAGATAAGATGTTCCTGAGGAAAAAAAAACTTGAGTTTGATATCTCATTACAAAATATCCAACATAGAAAGTAAAGAGAAAAAATGAAATATTCAAGAACTGTGGCAAAAGTATAAAATTTCAGACAGGGAAGAAAGAAAGGAGCAGAACAAATATTTCAGGCAATAATAATTTGAGAATTTCCCAGAATTATTAGACACCAAACCTCAGAATGAGAAAGCTCAGAAAACAGACAGATAAATTTCAAGAACAAAAAAATAACAAAATCAAACAAACAAAAACACAGTAACATCTAGGTACATTTTTTTAAACCCACAGAAAATCAAAGCTAAAAAACAACCCTGAAAGAAGCCAGAGGGAAAAAAACTACCTTACTTAAATAGGAGCAAATAAAAATTTCATGATTTCTTAAAAACTAAACAAGCAAGCAGAGAGCAGCATGAAATACCAATACACCTGCCAACCTAGAAATCCGTAAACCTTGAAATTGTTTTTTAAAAGTGAAGGAGAGATACTTTCTCAGATAAACACAAATTGAGGGGATTTGTTTCTGGTTGACCTGAATAGGTAAGAAATTCCTTAGAAGGCCATGGATGTAGCTCAGTGGCACAGCTTCTGCCTGGCAAGCACAAGGTCTAAGTTCAATCTATGGTACCTAAAAACCAAAAGGAAAACAAAATAAAAAACAAACAAAAAATTCCTTAGAAGGAAAGTAATAAAGGCAATAAACTTGGGTTTGCTTTAAGAAAGGGAGAGCATTAAAAAAGGAATAAATGAAGATAAAAATTTATTTTTCTTATTAAGTGATCTAACAGATCACTTGTGTTCACAAGAATAATTGGAGTATTATGCTGATAATGTTTATTTGCATATAATGCACACACACCTGTGTTTAAGCAAAATTTGTGACAACTGTGATACAGAAGGTATAGGAGGATTATTTTGATCTTACAAGAACTTTCTCCTTCTGTGAAGCATTATATACTGTTATGTGAAAGTGGACTTGGATTAGTTGTAAGTGTATGTTCCAAACTCCAAAACAGTCACTAAAAAAATAAATGGAGGGAGGGGGAAAAATGTAACTGAAATGCTTCTAAGAAAGGAGAGAAAATGTAATTATTAAATCCTCAGTTAAAACCACAAAAATAGAAAAGGAGGGAAAGAGAAAAACAGGATCAAAGAACAAGGACCAACAAATAGAAAGCAATTACAAAAGTAACAAATTTGGTAAATATCAATACAATTATATCAAACAATCACTTTTAGCATCAGTGATCTAAGTGCACCAGTTAAAAGACAGAGAATGCTATTGTGGCTCAAAAAATGAAATTCAACTATATGTAATGTATAAGAAACTCACTTTAGCCATTCATGGTGACACCTGCCTGTAATCCCAGTACTTAGTAGACTGAGGCAGGAAGTTTGCTCTGAGTTTAAAAGCCAGTCTGGCTACCAAGTGAGTTAAAGATCAGCTTGATCTGTATTGCAAAATCCTGTCTCAAAAAGCACCCTCCAAAAAAACCCTTGTATCCATGATATCACATATAGATTAAAAATAAGTATATGAAGCAAATTATATGATTACACTTCTCATTTAACAAAAGCCAGAAGTAACTTCATTTCAGACAGAGAAGTCTTCAGACTAAGAAAATTTATCAGTAATACAGATATAATGATAATGGGCTTATTTCTTACACTTGCACTTTGCAACAAGACATCAAACTACATAAAGCAAAAACTAATAATCCACTATTGCAGTGGGAGACTTCTACACCCCTTTATTAGAAATGGTCAGATGCAGCTAGCAGAAAATCAGGACATAGTTAAATTCAGAATACCACTGGTCAGCTGAGTATAATTGTCATCTGTTGACTACTTAACAAGGGTAAAAATACACATTCATTTCAGGCTCACATGGAATACTCATCAAGATCACATCAAGATTTATACTTTTTTTTTTTTTCCGGTTTTTGTTTTGTTTTGTTTTGTTTTTGAGACAGTCTGACTCTGTAGTCCAAAGTAGCCCTGAATTCACTATGTGTAGTTAAAGCTGGTGTTGAACTTGCAGCAATCCTTGTACCTCAGCCTCTCCCAAATTCTGGGATTACAGGTATGTGCCACCATGCCTTAAAAAGTATACAGAATAGAAATTATACAATGTCTGCCCTTCAACTACAGTGAAATTAAACTATATCAGTAACAAAAAGATGAGAGAAATCCCAAAGTACTTGGTGATAAACAGCACACTTCTAAAACTATACTACCCATGAAGAAATAACAAGAGAAATAAAAACTACTTTGAATTAAGTGAAAAAACATAATGTATCCCATATTTTTGGGACACAGTGGAAGTACTGTTTGAAGAAAAATTTATAGCATTGAATGCATATATTAGAAAAGAAAGATCTGAACACAGATCTAAAGAAACCAGGGAACTCGGAAAAGAAAGATTGAATTAAACCTGAGTTAACCAGAAAGAAAAATAATTAGGATACAAATCAATGAAATTAAAAACAAATCAGTAGAGAAAATAGGTAAAACCGAAAGCTAGTTCTTTGAAGAGATCTATAAAGCGGATAATCCTTTAGCCAGGGTAACTAAAGAAAGCATGAAGCTGGGTGTTGTGCACATACATGTAATTCCAGGTACTCTGGAGGCTGAGGAAGGAGGATTGCAAGTTCAAAGCCAGCCTGGGAAAACTGGCAAGATCCAGTCTCAAAGTAAAACTTACTAGAAGTGCTGAACTGTAGCCCAGTTGTAAAGTGCATGTCTAGCGTATGTGAAGCTCGGGATTGAATCCCTAGTATTGCAGAGAAACAAAGCAGATAGAGAAGGGTGGAGGAAAAGAAGAAAGGAGAAGAGAAAGGGATGAAGACAAATTAGAAATAAAGAAAGAGACATCACTGTAGATCCCTTGGGCATTAAAGTATAGTGGAGTACTATGAATAACCGCATGCAAACATGATAATCTACAAGTAACAGAACACTGAAAGATACCTTGAACCAAAAATACAAAGAAGAAACAATCTGAATTATGTTCTGTGAGAAATTGAGTCAGTAATTAATAACCTTTTAAAACAAACTACCACATGAACTTACTCATGAATTCTATCAGAGGTTTAAGGAATAAATTGTAGCTCTGTGTGGTGGCACATTCCTGCAATCCTAGTACATGGAAGGCAGGAAGATTGCTATAAATGTGAGGCTAGCCTGGCTGTATAAAGGAGTTCAAGGCCAGCTTGACCATATGGACACTGTGTCAGAAAAAAATTGTACTGGTTTTCTGTAATCACTTGTCAGATGATGGAAGGAGGGGGAGTATTTTCTAACTCACTCTCTGAGGCTAACAGTAACCTAAAACCAAACATAATCAAAGTTTAAAAAAGAGAACTACTGCCCAATATTTCTCATGAATATAGTTACAAAAAATCACTGAAATACTAGAAAATCAAATCAACAGTGTATAAAAAAATGTCAAATATGTAAAAAGAATTATATACTCCTGTATAAAAATAATTTTATAGCCAAGTGAGATTTAGCTAAAATGTGCAAGCCTGGTTCAAAACTTGAAAATCAGTCAATATGTAGTTCTTCTGAACATGCTAAAGAGAGAAAAAAAATCAAATGATCATATCACTAGCTATAAAAGCATTTGAGAAACTCCAGGACCTATTCATGATGAAAACTGAATTAATTTCTTTAATTTAATAAACAATACATACAAAAACCTCACAGACAACATGCAAAGGCAAAAATACCTCCTTTCACAACTGCCTTTCAACACTGAATGTTTTTGCTAATATAGTAACACAAGAAAGTAAAGATATATAGAATGTGAAGGGAGAAATAAAAATACCTTCAATCTTACTTGACATAATTGTCTGCACAGAAAATCTGAAAGAATCCACAAAAACACTGAACTTTAATAAGCAATAATAGCAGGCTTGAAAGATTATAAAGTTAATCCATAAAGTCAATCACTTCATTATATACCAGCAATAAATAAATGCAATTTGAAATTGAAAACAGTATATAGATTAGTACTCCCAAAATAAAATATTTAAGTATAATCTAACAAAATATACAAGATCTATATGAGAGAAAATTGGATTTGGCCTTTGCCTCTTTAGTTTTACCTTATAAAACCAAGCATAACATGAGGATTTTCCATAAATAGCATTAGGAGTTTAGTTATGATGAGAAAAAGGCAAATATTTGAACATTTTGTTTGCCTAAAAATCTTTTCTGCTTGGGGAAAACGTGTTAGAGGTTATAAAAATTGATAATTGTTTTTGATAACAGGAATGATATTAATGATACATGGCCAAATGTACGTTAACATTTAAATTAATTAAATTTTTAGAAATATGATATTAAGACTGAAAATACATAGTATAAAAAGTAGAAACCATCAGCTCCACTGTGTAGAAGTGGACTTCTTGTGCTCTAGTTTGGTGTTAATCCTTACGTTTCTCTGTGTATTTCTGTATATGTATGCATAAATGTACAGGCATCATTTTAGAGTTTAGTTTTTTGCTTTACCCTAGTACAATAATACTATATGTGTTATTTCATGCTGTCTTTTCACTTAATGGTAGTGAATTTATTATTGGGACACTCCTCAGTATACTTTGTACATTGTGAATCTCCAAAAGGGGATATAGGGGAGTCCCAAAATTCATATTCCTAAGAGCACTGATCAATTGTGAAAAACACTGAATTTCAGATAGCGTCAGAAAAATGCCTATAAAATGCCTGTTTTTATACTTTAAACCCTAGCTATGCTATGTCTCCTGCAGTTATTTTATTTATTTTTGTCTTTTTCATTTTTATCGGTACTGGGGCTCGAACTCACAACCACCTGCTTGCAAGGCAGGTACTTATGCCGCTGAGCTAAATCCCCAGCCCCAGTTATTTAATTTAATAAAATATTGTGTTAATAAAGTTTTAGAAGGTACATGGTGTTTTGGGAGTACCTTAGGGTTTTAAGAAGAACAAAACTGAGAAAACTCAATAGCTGCATGTGTACCTGTAGTGATGCATAAATGCTGGTGCATCTGCCAGAGATGGCTTACTGAGTAGCAGCCATCAGCAGCTGGGAGAACTGAATAACACTTTTAGATTGGCTACTTGCAAACTTCCCACCAAAGAAACAATTGCAGAGGCTATTTGCAGTTTCCCTGAAATAGGAGTTTCCACAATTACTAGTTAGGTACTCAGAAAAAACCCATATACAACTGCGGCCATGAAATCTTGAGTCATGACTCCAGGGGTATATGGTACATGATGCAGCATTTCTCAATTTGACCATGAAACTTTTTCCCAAGGAGCCTCTTACAGAAACACTGATTTGGGAAATAAATTATTTTTGCATTGTACACTATCTGAGAAACAAGATAGTGACTTTGCTTTATGATCTTGTCACTTTAAAAAATTGCTTCACTTGTGGCTTTCTTGTTTAGATCTAATAGTCAAGTGTATTGGTGAAGAAACAAAGTATGAAAGCATCAGACTTCTATTTGATGGTTTACAGCAGCCAGTACTCAACAAGCAGGTAATAATTAGTTACAGCTAGTAAACACTAGTTTGGACTAAATTTGTTGAATGACACTATACTACATCAAGGCAATATAATTAAAACACTCAGATAAAAAAAGTATTTTACTTATGTTACTCTTTTGCTGATTATTTTTGTCATGAATTCTTAAATTTAAAGTGAACTTTCATTGTGAAAATTTGAGAGATAGAAAACTTACAAAATAAAGTAAAAACTTAAAATTTGGTAATTCTGTAATTTAATGTGCACAATGGTTAATATTTTTGTGTGTATAATATGTGTATTTTGTTGAGGTTTCTGTTTGGTTTGATTCAGCATTTTTCTTCTATACTGAGGATTGAACTGAGGGATGGTGTATGACTGAGCTCTATCCAGCTGTTTTTTATTTTTTGTTTTGAGATTGAATCACATTGTTACCTTTGAAACTCATGATTAAGCTTGTAGTCCTCCTTCCTCAGTCTTGCAAGTAGCTGAGATTATAGGCATGTGGCACCATGGCCCAGTAGCTTATTGAGATCTTAATACAGTTACAATTTTATGTTCTGCTCATTTCTTTAAGGTTTTGTTACATGTAAAATAACAAAAATGAGTTAGGCATTTTAAATGTGTACATGCAAGCATTTATGTGCCTTCTGTGCATTTTAAGAATGGAACATTATTGGTAGAAGCTACTTTTGTTCTTATTTTACTTCAGCAGTTCTAGTCCTTGTCTTCCCTTGTAAAGATAATCATCATCCTCAATTTTGTATTTGTTTTTTATTTAGTAGTGCCTTAAATTGTATTTTTTGTTGTTGCTCTAGCTGACGTACGTTTTATTGGACATTGTGATACAAGAACTGTTTCCAGAGCTTAATAAGGTAACTGAAAATCAATAATTTTGTAATTGTCTTAATGATGTACTGACATTTATTTTAATTGGGGACACAAAAGTTAAGGAAAACCTATTATGTCACCCTTTAAAAATTGAATAACCGGGCTGGGGATTTAGCTCAGTGTCAAAAGCGCCTCCTGGCAAGTATGAGAGTGTGAGTTCCATCCCCAGTACCGCAAAAAAAAAAAAAAAAAAAAAAAAAAAAATTGAATAACTGAGCTGGGTGTGGTGGCTCATGCTTGTAATCCTAGCACTTTGGAGGCTGAGGCAAGAGATCATTGAGAGTTTGAGACTAGCCTGGGTTGCAAAGTGAGCTCAAGGCCAGCTTGAACTGCATTTTGAGACTTTGTCTCAAAAAGAAAAAAAAAATCACACCTGGCGTGGTGGCTCACGCCTGTAAGCCCTGCACTCGGGAGGCTGAGGTAGGAGGATCGTTGTGAGTTCAAGACCATCCTGGGCTAGAAAGTGAGCTCAAGGCCAGCCTGAACTGCATAGTGAGACCCTGTCTCAAAAAAGACAAAAAAAAAAAAAAAAAAAATCTAACAACTTCAAAAAATATTTCATGTATCATTTATTCAATGTGTCTAGTCACAGAGTGGATTTTAGGTGATGGAAACTGAATAGTCTATACCTCACTATCATCCTTTTCCTAACAAGCAGATAGGGACTATTTATACTCTTCTCAGAGAAAGTATTAGTATTAGAATGGGTCAGGTTCTTCAAAATGTCATCTGAAATTCTGTGTCAGAGATTTGAGTATTTTTTGATGCATTTGAGTCTGTAAACCTAAGGACACAAAATGAATTGGATTTAGAGCATTGTATGTTATTGCTATATTTAATCTTGATGATTTTTGGAGTTTTGAACAGTATTGCTTTCTATTATTTTCTGGTTAATCTCTTCAGCTGGATAAAAATATTTACTGTTTAAAGCTATCATATCAAAATGAAATAGCACTTTTGTAGAGTAAAGGAAACAAGATTTTCAGTTAATTGCTTGTTAATTATAAGCTTTCAAGTTTAGTAATACAAAATGTGGCAGTTACAGAAATTTTATGTTCAACTACAATACCAAGGAATCTTCATCTTCTAGGGATACAAGATTTTTTTTCCCCCCTTGGACACAGGTTGTCTCTATGTAGTTTAAGCTGCTTCTGAACTTAGTGCATAGTAGCCCAGGCTGCCCTTGAACTCATTGTGATCATCCTGCCTTCGCCTCCTGAGTGCTGGGATTACAGGCGTGTGCCACCACATCAAGCCTGAGATGTAATCATATTTATCTTGCTGTGTTGCTGTATTCTCTTAACCATAGATATTATCTGCTGTATATATCATACCAGCAGATTTTTTGCTTTATAATATGTGTCTCAGGTTAAAAGTTTAATACCAAGACAATTCATAAAGAAACCCTGTCCTATGTCATCTATATTTTAAATGAATATATTTTTATTCTAGGTACAAAAGGAAGTTACCTCCATGACATCGTGGATGTAATTTGGTATAGAATAACTATTTGAAATTTTTATCATACTAGTGTAATAGAAGTGTACTTTTTTTCTTTTACTATTATATATTCTGGTTTGTTTGTTTGTTTGTTTTTTGATACAGGATCTTGCTGTGTAGTACAGGCTGTCTTTGAGTTCACTATGTATCCCAGGCTGGCCTTGAACTCACAGTGATCCTCCTGCCTCAGCCTCTCCAGTGCTGGGATTACAGGCATTTGCTACCATGCTCAGCTATGTATTCTTATTTGTCTTGTATATTTCATTGTCCAACATTTTAATTATTTTGTGTTTGAATAAAGACTAATACGTACTTAATGATTAAAGTGATGAGGTTTCATAGCTTTTCATTTTATACCTGTTTCCAGATTTCACAAAAATGTGTGTCACTGAACTACCATTTTTTAAAGAGAAAATTCGTACTTCCTTTAGGGCAAACAGATAAGATTGATAATCTTTGTATTGTATCACTTTGAAAATAATTTTTCAGTGTGGAAAAAGTAAGATCTGACTTGCTTTCCAGTTTTTTGTTAATATATTAGATTTGTTTACCTTTTTTATGTTGTACATAGTTAATTGTAAATAAATTTCTCCTATGAGATTTCTGTTATACAGAGGGTTTATCCTTATCCTTATGACTGACAGATGTTAGTCCTGCTCTGTGTGAAAACTGAATACTTAACAGACATTTGTTACCGTGTAGTTATAACTAAAGTGACCTGAATTGTGTATTACTATATTCCAAAACTTATATTTACTGTGTAGTTCAGGCTGGCCTTGAACTTGCTGCAGTCCTCCTGCCTTAGCTTGTTGAGTATTGGGATTATACATATGCACCACTGTACCTAGCTTTTAAAAGATTATTTTTTAAAGATTGTATGTTTGGTTTAATAGTGCACTTGTAATTCCAGTTATTTAGCAGAGGCAAGAGGATGTAAGTTTGAGGGCAGCCTGGGCAACTTAGTGAGGCTTTGTTTCAAAATAAAAAATAAAAAGGTCTGGAAATGTAGTGCAGTAGTATAGCTCTTGACTGTTATATGTGAAGTCCTGAATTCAAGCCCAGGATTTCCAAGAAATTAAAAAGATTCAGTGTTTTGAATTTTACTTAGAATTTTTCACTGTGTTATATTTTGTCCCTGAAATAAATTTGTTAAGATTATGTTGCACTTGGTTGTTGGTTTTAGTGTTATTTCAGAATGTATTTATTGTGCTACATGTATTAAATTCTAAACTGTGTTAGGGAACTCTGTATATTACTTAGAAAATGAACACACTCAATGATAACTATATACTTTTTCCCAAAATTTCAAAAAATGTCCCTGAAGTGTACAATGTTTTTAAAAAAGTTTTGCTAGTAGTTCTATAATTTTTTTTAACTACTTGAGTGCTTTAGAATATGCCTGGTTCTCTGTGAACCACTGGTTTAGTAGTAAGCCTTAAACAAATTCACTAATTTCTCAGGAATGGAGAAAAATTAATCAGGCTAATCATTTCAATCCATAGCAATTTGAACATTATTGAAAATGTAATGAACTGGAAAAATAAAGTGTTTCACAGTTTTTTAATGCTATCCTCATCTAATTTTCTTCTTTTTTGAAAAAAAAAATTACCTATTCTTAAATTATGGTATTCTGTTTATTTTGGTAAGAAAAAACTATGCTAGAGGCCCAAATGGCAGAGCCTTGAGTGTTAGCAACTCAGCTTCTCCAGAACAAAATCTCTATAGAGTCTGGGAAACAGTAACTTACAAAGAGACTATAGTGAGTGCAGGTTATCTGGGAACAACAGGGAAACAGACAGGAGAAGAAAATATGATGAAGTGATACAGAAGAAACAGTTCAGAGTGCAGAGGACAGATGGCCACCAAAGGCTGTCTAGCTGCCACCTGGGAGACGAAGTGAAGCTGACAACTGTTTTGCTCTGGGAGAACCAGAGAACTGCCTGGGGATCAAAAGAATCATTTGCAGTTGGAATCAGCAAGGAAATGCAGAACGCTGCTTCCAGAGCAGCCTTCCACAGTCTACAGTTGTTGAGTGACCTGCATACAAGCACCTGCAGCTGCAACAGCACAGCGTAAGCCGGCAGGAACACCGCTGTAGGGGAAGGAAGAGTGTTTGAACCTGTGTTCCATAGCACCCCTTACCTGCATCACATTGCCGTGTTCCCAGAGTGGATGAGGGAAGATAGTCATGGGAGACTGCTGGCTGGCAGTTAGAGAGCAGAAGAGGAGGAAGGGCAGGCTGGTGAACACAGACTGAGTTCCACAGGCTTGAAAGTTCACATTGGTGCCGTGTTCTCACTGTAAGCAGATCTCTGTAGCCAGCACCATCTGAGGATAGACTGCCGCCCTAGACCTGCAGCATGAACACAGACATGTCTTGGCATGAGTTGTACTCCTTAACTCTAGCCTGAGGAAAAGAGCCATGCATTCAAAAGAATAAAAACGTTCTCACATTATTTCTTATAGTATAGTTTTTTCTTTTTAATTTTATTTTCTGACTTTTTAAATTCGTTTTTGTGTATGTGTTCTTTCGTTCTTTTCTTTGTTCTCCCAATATAGTTTATAGAGGATTAAAGAATTTTCCCTTGTCTCTATATTCCTACTTGTAACTATATCCATTTACCTGACTTCTTTCTTATGTGGGTGTGTACTCACTTTCATTTTTTCTTTCCTTTCCCCTTTTTCATTTCTTACTTTAAGTTTTTCTCTAATATTAATACATTAGAATCTTTCTGCATCCCCATTTTTTACTACCTATTTTGTACCTAATTTTTCCTATTGTCTCCTTCTAAATATAAAACATAGTCTTACCATCATTAGGACCCCCTCCTCCCGCCTTTTGTTTCCTCCATCCTATACCACAAAGCAGAAGGCTTAAAAAAACAAAAAAACAAACTTGCTTCTGTCCCTCGCCCCCTCTGGCATTATCCAGTCCCCAAACCCCTAATTTTAGGTTACTAATGCTATAAAAGTTACTCTTGCATGCTAATTTTCACCATTATGGGAGATGCAGTCATCAAACTTAATGCAGATCAAGATGTGGGTTAAAATGCTTAACGTATAACTATGGATTTCTTCTCTAGGCTAAAGGGGACCAAGTACAGTGTCTCATCATATTTTATTTCCCATATAGGCATGATATCACTGTAGCAATGGATTAACTTGTTACTGTTGTAACTGATTTGATTTCATAGAAATAATCCTGACTCAATGGACAACTTTGTGCCAGTGAACCTGTCTGCCAAGTGCACCGTCACACCCAGGGAAAGGAACAGCAAAAGTCTCAATCCAAGAATTCTGACTGTGACAGAATTGTTCTGTTTTGTTATGGTTTATTATCTTTAAAATTAAAAAAACAATGCCTACAACGTGTCAGAAGTCTTGAGTCTGAGTTAGCTTCAGTATTGCAGTGGAGGGATCAGAGGAGTTAGTGGGTTGTGAGCTCTCAAACTCTCGCGAAGAAGCTACTTGAGAGTCATATACACAGTATCTCACTGGAATGTTTATTCCAGTTGGACACCTTACAGATTTAAGTTTTGTTATGTTTTTTGATCTGTTTAGAAATGAGAGACTGTGTTCTTTCACGGTTTTCTGTGTTTATTAGGTGGTTACTTTTTTGTATTACATTGTACTTTTGTTCTTTCATTGGCTCTTATTTAACCAGATGTCTAGGTTTTCTCCTTTATCTCAGTGCTATGAGTTCTTCATGTCAAACTCCTAAGACAATCCTATTAACATTTTTTAAAATTCTTTTCTCAAACACAAGAACTCCTCCTAAGTTTTTAATTTTTCAGTTTTAGATCCCACACAGTCACTCCTGTATTCTTTATGTTATTCACTGGTCCTGTACACCTTAAGTTTTTGGCTCTTCCATATCTTACCTAGCTTACTGTCTTCCCTGTCAACAATTCTGACAACTGCATAGGTTTCCTCAATCCCAGTAAAAGCCTCCTTTCTCCTATATCTTGCTCTTGCCCCTACAAAATATCTTCTGAAAACTCTCAATATTAAACCTTCAACACAACTAGAAGGACTCCCAAAAAATTAGACCCTACATCAACTTTCATCTACCACTTTTTCCCCCTTGAAACCTCTCGCTTAGTGTCTGACAATCCTTATCCAACCAGCTCCTATTTTTTTATATTCTTTTTTTTAATTTTAAAGATAATAAACCATAACAAAACAGAACAAAGCATATCAGAAGAAAACAATGTAAGTGACACAGATTTCAAGGCAAGATAACAGGAGAGGGGCTGGGGATTTAGCTCAGCAGCATAAGCACCTGCCTTGCAAGCAGGCAGTCATGAGTTTGATCCCTGGTACTGATAAAAACGAAAAAAGACAAACAAACAAAAAAACGGAGATCAGCAGTGGCTAATGTCTCGTGTTTTCTTCTAGTTCTATCTTCACACACAGTGAATTCATAAAAAGTAAAATAGTATAAAACTGATCAAAACATTAATGAAGGCATTACCGACCTTCAAAACCAGACAATAGAAAATCAATAATAGCCACTGTAACCTCTCCTGTTCTCTTCAAAATTGCTGTCTAAACCTTCATCTATGTTGAAATTAAATAATACAAAACAGACTAAAACCACTCTGAACAAAGAAGTATTACTGGATTTCACAGCATAATGATAGGAAATCAGCAATGGATATCATAATAACCTTTTTCTTAAAAGTAGCTGTTCATACCATCACATAATACAATCAATTCTTGTAAACTGTTTAGGAGACATTCTAGGCATATATAAGCCTCTACATGTACATCTGTCCTTTCTACATTAAAGGGAAAAACAAAAAATAAATTACCAGAAAAATAAGAAACAAAAATGACAGCACTAGCAAGGAGCCCAAAATGATGAGATAGGCCTTCAAATTAAGGTGATAGGAACATAACTAAGGTGGTTATTTTAATAGTGATCTTTTTTGAGTTCCTCAGATCACCACACACAAACATGCAAAATTGATCCAATCCTATGAATGTTAATTATTTTGTTCTGAGAACTAATAGAATTTGTAGCACAAGCATCTTAGCTATCTTGTGTGTTTATACAAATTTAGATATTTTTTCTCCATCTTTTTTCCCCCGAGATGCTGTTTTTTCCCCTTTGAGCAGATTCTTATACTTTCACTATATTTATTGAGGATTTTGTATCTTACCATTTCTTACATTAGGGAGACTATGATATTTACACATGTGAGTTTGATTTATTTCAGTTATGAGTATGGTCTCAAGTTGTATCCACTTACCTGTAAAAATCTCATACTTATTCTGTATAGCTGAGTAGTATTCCATTGTATAAAAGCACCACATCTTTTTTATCATTCTTAAGTTGGTGGGCATTTAGGTTGTTTCCAGGATCTGGCTATTACAAATTGTGCTGTTATAAACATGAGTGCACATATATCACTGTAATATGATGTTCTCAATTCTGGGAATATGCCCAGAAGTGGAATAGATGGGTCAAATGGGACTTCCAATCCCAGCTTTTTGAGGAACCTCCAGACGGATGTCCACAGTGGTTGCATCAGTCTGCACTCCCACCAACAGTGTAGAAAGAGTTCCATTTTCTCCACAGCCTCTAGCATTTGTTGTAGGTAGTTTTCTTTAACCTGGCCATTCTTTCTGGAGTGAGATAGAATCTCAGTGTTGTTTTCATTTGCATTTCTCTAAGGATCAGTGTCATGGCTTATGTTGGTGGCCCACAGGCCTCATGCATTTGCATTGTGCATTTGTGATTGGTTCATTGTCTAGCACTTAAATTGGGGGTGTGAATGCTACACTGGCCTAGGGGTGAAACCAGGATGTAATGTAATGGCAGGAAGAAGGCGTGTCTCTCTCTTTTGCCAGTTTCTGCCTTGCTGTTTGCAGCTGCCATAAACTGCGGCCCTGCCATGCCTTGCCTTGCCCTGCCTTGGAGCCAACTGAGTATGGACTGAAACCTCCAAAGACTGTAAGAAATAAACCTCTCCTTTCCCAACTTTGAGCATCAGGTATTTTGTCTCAGTGACGAGTAAAAAGTAATTAAGACAACCAGTGATGCTGAGCATTTTTTCATGTATTTATTTGCCATTTATATTTCTTTATCTGAAAACTTTGTTTTCATCTTAGATGCCCATTTTTGGATTGGGTCTTTGAATTTCAGGGATCTGATTTTTAAAAATTCTTTATATGTTCTAGACAGAAGTCCTTTGAGGGACAGTTGACTTACGATTTTTTTCAAAATTCATAGGTTCGTTTTTACTCTGTTGAGATTTCTTTCGACATGCAAAGATTCTTTAATAGAATGCAATCCCAGTTATTGATTCTGGGACGTATTTCACATAGTTTGATTCTTGTTCATGAATTCTCTACATACCCCTATGCCGTCAAGATTTCTACCTACTTTGTCTTCCAACAAACTTAATGTTTCTGTTTCAATATTTAGATCTTTGATCCACTTTCACTTTAGTTTAGTACATGGCGATAGGCATGGGTCTAGTTTTAGTTTTCAGCATTTGGAGAGCCAGTTTTTCTAGCACCACTTATTAAAGAGGCTATCTTTCTTCCAGTGAACATGTTTGGCCCCTTTGTCAAAAATTGGGTGGTTGAGTGTGTTTGTAGTCGTAGTTGATCTTCTAATCTATTCCATTGACCTTCCAGTCTGTTTTTATTCCAATACCATGCTGATTTTTTTTACAGTAGCTTTTTAGTGTAACTTCAAGACAGGCATTGTGATGCCTTCTGCCTTGCCTTTGTTGCCCAGGATTGCCTTTGCTATTCTAGGTCTTTTCAGTTTGAAGATGAATTTTAGGAATGATTCCTCTAGATCTGTGAGGTATGCTAGTGGTATTTTGATTGGAATTGCATTTAAATCTTTATAAAGTTTTGGGAGAATGGCCATTTGCATAGCATTTGTTCTTCCTATCCATGAACAAGGAATGTCTTTGCATTTTCTGAGATCCTCTTCAATTTCTTTTTTCAGGGTAATATTGTTGCTGAATAGATCTTTTACTTATTTTTTTAGATTGATTCCTAATTATTTCATTTTTTTGGATGCTGTTATGAAGGGTGCAGCTTCTCATTTATCAGTGAATTTTTTGTTTGTATACAGAAATGCTGTTGATTTTTGAGTGTTGACTTTGTATCCAGCTACATTACTGAATTTAGTTATTATACGTAGGAGTGTTTCAATAGAATTTTGGGGGTCTTCTATGTAGAGTGTCTTGTTATCTGCAAATAATGTTAATTTAACTTCTTTTCCTATCCTTACTCCTTTTATTTCTCTCTCTTGCTAGTATTGCTCTGGCTGGTATTTCCAGCACTATATTGAATAGGAGTGGTGATAATAGACATCCTTGTCTTGTTCCTGATGTTAGAGTAAAAGCTTTTAGTTTTTGGTCATTTATTATGATACTGGCTGTTGGTTTGTCATAGATGGCTTTTATCAGATTGAGATAAAGACTGTCTA